GAGCTAAGCAAGGCTTTCATCCAGTCAGTGAGTTGATAAAATAAGAACCAAGCATGATTGGGGTGTAAACACTGTGATTTCTGCATTCAGCTCACCTTCCAACTAGAACATCTGCTTCTGCACCACAGAGATCAAGAAAACTGCGAAAGGTTGGCTCTTCATGGGCTATCACATCACTGTTATAAGTTTAGTTTTGTATCAGTAAACATGTTAACTTCTTCAGTTTAGATGGAAATTTTTTTCTTAGCAACTAAAGTGGAAAGGAATTTTACTATGATTACAATTTTCATGCATTATTATTCATGTACAGCTTAACTGTGATGTCAGCAACTAAACCAAATATGGTAATGCAAAACAAATTTAAATGTTGCTATTTAAACAAGTTTAAATGTATTAGGTTTATCAATGAGAAGGCCCGTTTTTTTTTTATAAATTATGCATTACTGGCATTTGTAAGATGGTAAATCATAGATGGCAGCAGTAGCAGTAGTTCATTCATAGCGGCGACGGTCTGGGAAACATCCCTGAGGATGATCCGAAGACATGCCATCACAATTTTGATCCTCTGCAGAGGGGATAGCACCCCCGCTTCGGTAGCCCGACGACCTGCATGCGAAGCGGAGAACTTTACAGTAGAACAGATTAACGAGGACCAATACCGCACACCCTCGGTCCCTAAGCAGACTAATCCAAGTGGTCACCCACCCGCACACTGACCGCAACCAGTAAAAATCATGGATGGAAAAGAGCATCTATAGTCCTTTTTGCAAATACTGATGGGTAGATTTTAAAGCAAATGCATGTTTTAATTTATTTTTGCATATTACAAATGCAAACTTTTTTTATTAATTTAAACACTTTAGTTAATTTTACCAATTATAAGATACCATCGTAAAGTATACTCTTCAAGAGCAAGAAGTTAAGCACATGCCCCGTTTTGCAAAAACTTATGACATTAATTTAGATGCATAATATACTCTTTTTATAAATTGCAAATGTGTATTTTACTGTTATCTCATTAGCAACATTAATCTGAATAAAAAGTATAAAAAACAAATAAACAGCAGTCTAACTTACTGAAATTTAAAGATTAAAAGCTCTTCATTAATCTCCAGTGTGAATAACTTTATGACCACGTAAGCCATTTAAAGTGTTAAAACTATTTCCACACTCCGGGCAAACAAATGAATTTTCAGGATTATGAGCTTTTAAATGGTTATAGTAATCACAATATCTGTTTGAAGAATATGGACACAGATTACAGTTATGTCGATATTTAGCATGTGGAGATTTGTGATGATAGAGCTCATGTCTTGTAAGTGTAACTTTACTTGTGAACCTTTTATTGCAAACAGTGCAATACGAATGGAGCCTAAAATATCCTGAGGAGGAAAAATGCAGGTTTAATAAGCATGCATAAGAAAGCAACTACATTAATATATAATAACTACTTGGACATGCAATTAATGTAGTTAATTACTATTATGTTAAGCACAATAATTTATAATTCATTCATACAGTGTGCAAAAATAAGCAAACACATTACTAACTTTTGATACAAAAATCATATTTTCACATACAAAAACAAATCTTAATGGTTTGAGAGCCTAACATGACATATGATAATTAATAAGTGCATAAGTTTTTTTTTAAGTTACTTAATCAGGCACAAAATGTACTTTGTCTAGACAAACAAACCCCCTTTTTTTTACTATATTTAGATTCTTGACCCTCAAAATATGGAAGGTAATCACAATCTGGATAATATGGTTTGAACAATTTCAATACTCTAGACAACAAATGGAATATACACTAGAAATTTAAGTATGTGGAAATTTTTTTTGCATAAAAGATAATTCCATGTAGAAAATATATTTTAATAATTGAGTATTATTTTATTTTATGCAGACAATTATAAAATTCATTAATTAAAAGATCATTCCACCAAAAATACATTTTACTAATCATGCATAATTTTTTTTATTATTTTATTTAATGATTAAAAAAATTTTTTTTTTAATTATTTAGAATACAAATTTATACCTCAACTTAATCTGCAGAATTTCAAATGACCAAATCCTAAACATAAAGAGAAAGAATTGAATTGTTCTCAAGATGAAAAACAAAATTTCTTTCAGATGGGGACAGATGAAAAAACAAATTTAACATTAAGGGTCTAAAAAGGTTTGACCACTATTCTGGCTAAAAAAATATTAGAACCATTATTTCAAAATTGCAGCTATCAATTGATTTTTTGAGGGGTAAGAATCCAAATCTATTAAAAAAAAAAATGAATGCTTATTGAGAGAAAGTACCTTTTGTGCCTAATTTTCTAACTTAAAATATTATCTGCACTAATGAATTAGCATATTCAAGGTCAGCTCCTTGAAGTATTAATATTGAGTCCTAATATATGAAAATCCAATCATTAGAAGAAAAAAAATTAAGGTATTTATGCATACAGTACATTTTACTTTTATCTTATTATAAACACTAATTTGAAAGCAAAATACAAAAACAAAAACTAACACTTTAACTTACAGAAACTGAAAAAAAATCATAGTTCTTAATCTCCAGTGTGAATAACTTCATGGCTATGTAAACCATTTAAAGTACTAAAACGATTCCCACACACAGGACACATGAAAGAATTTTCAGGATTATGAGCTTTTAAATGGTTATGGTAATCACAACTTCTGTTTGAAGAATATGGACACCGATTACAGTTATGACGATATTTAGCATGAGGAGGTTTGTGATGATAGAGTTGATGTCTTGATAATGTAACCTTACTTGTGAACTTTATATTGCAAACAGAGCAATATGAATAGAGCCTAAAAAATCCTGAGGAGGAAAAGTGGTGGATTAATAAACATGCCCAAAAAATAAATATATTTATGAATTCTCCGTATTTAGACACACAATGAATTTTGTTAATTATAATACCAGATACAATCACTTATAAAGGACTTTGAATTAGAAACTTCATTTACTGAGAAATGGGAAGGGTGTAAAATATATTTGATATTATTTCAATTGTTTAATGTTAAATGGTAGCAACTCAATAATCATATGGTATGCCATATTGTTTTGTTTTTTCTCGTTAACTTAATTTTAAGCAACATGCTGCAAAATTTGCTAACATTAAAAGTAATTTTTGACATTTAGTACTCTTGTGTGACAATGGTTGATAATAAAAAAAGTGCAACAAATGAACAGAATAAGTTTGGAAAAAAATATCACTAGGTACTGTTTAAATGAATGGGTATGTAGAATTTTAAAATATATTTTGCATATAAATGACAATATGACATTTATAAAAAAAATTTCGAATTAAGAGAAGAAAAAAAAGCTTAACATTCAAGCTTAAAGAGATAATTCCACACAAGGAACACAATTAAATTATCAAAGTTATAAGAGAAAATCAAGTTGTATCTTGAGATTTTCTTTAATCGTAAAAAATATTATTCTTTAGTCAGCAAGTAAGAATATTTTTACTAATATGGAAGTTAATCCAAAAATTTAGTAAGTTAGTCCAAAATTGTTTTCTTTTTCTTTAAAAGCACTTTTTTGTGCCTGAATTATCATCAATAAAGTATTTGATAATAATCATCAATAAATTTTCTGAGCCTTAAATACTGTATTATTATTATTTTATATTTAATTTGAAGTCAGAGAATATACACTTTTGTCGAGAGATAATTCAAGCTGAGGTTTGTGATTTGCACAACATATTTTAAACTATAGTTTTCTTCAGTTGAAATATTCAATGCTTTCTATTTGTATTTGTGCGTTAAATTACATAATTTAATTATAAAAAATAAACTTATGTCTTAATTTATTTCTGTTAATTGCAACAGTGCAAACAGCTATACTATTCTTGACACGTCTATTCTGCCCCAGTTGGTGAAATTTTACAACAAATGTAATGAAAATGCTTTTTAATATTTTATGAATCACTAAATTGTAGATTAAATAATAATCATGCATTATTTGGATAGAAGTACTAAGAAAAGTATGCAACATTATTCAATTTTAGATTAGAGCATTATTATGCCTTTTATTATGAAATGAAATACACACATAAGCAGGGAAAAAAACTTAATAGCAGAAGTCAACTTGTTTTAACATTATGTTCTATTAATTATACTGAAATACAAATAAATTAATAAACAGATATTGTGAAATTTTGCACAATAAAATATAAATTATACAAAGGAATAATGTAAACTATAATAATTTTTTAAAAATAAGATAGATTAGTCTAGGTTCATCTCTAGTATGAATAATCGTGATTATTTTAACTAGTAAGACTATTGAATCTGTTATTGTAAACAGTAAAAACAGTTTCAATCCTCCTTGTGAACAAAAACATGACGTTCTAATAAACAAAGGAATATTGCATACAAAAATAAAACTTTTACATAGGACAGATTAGTCTAGGTTATTCTTCAACATAAATAATTATGATTATTTAAACTCGTAAGACTATTAAACCTGTTGTGGCAAGCAGTGAAAACAAACTTTTAATCTATAGTGCGGCTTTCAGGAGAACTCCTCCAGACACCCGTCTCGCGTCGTGGCGGGTACTATGGCTACGAGGAAAGGTCACTTCGAAAAGGGGTTTGGGATGAATAGTTTTGTCTTAATCTTAGCATAGGTCGTCCTGAGTAAACCAATCGACACCTTCTTTCCTCCATTTCACCCTCTTAGAAATGTGCTCTCGCTTGTTACCACAGCAGCAGACAGCCAAAGACTTTCAGTCTGGAGGAGTTCTCCTCAAAGCCGCACTATATCTTGTGAACAAAAACATGATGTTTCAATAAACAAAAGAATATTGCATACAAAAATAAAACTTTTACATAGGACAGATTAGTCTAGGTTCTTCTCCAGTATGAATAATCATATGATTATTTAAACTTGTAAGACTATTGAATCTGTTATTGCAGACAGTGCAAACAAACTTTCGATCCTCCTTGTGAACAAAAACATGACGCTCTAAGTTGCATTTAATGTTTGTGGAATAAGGACATAGATCACAGCTGTATCTGTATTTTCCAAAGGAATCATGGTGCCACATTGCATGCCTTGATAAGGTTGTTGAGGTGGCAAACCATAGATTACAAAGTCTGCAAGGGAATCCACTATGGCAACCTAAGAAAACATTATTCATGATTAATTACAATATTAAAATCACTGGATATAAAGATAATTACAACTTGTAATATTTTAATTACTTTTGTACTTTAATAAATTATGTAATAAAAGAGAACTAAATAACAAAATTTCTCAAATGACAAAATAGTTTTCCTTTAAAAGAATGTGATTTTAATATTAAACATATAATAACAATTCAAGACATATTTAACATTTTCTTTTGTGTAAAAAGTTCTTATCCTTAAAAATTATTTGAATGTAAAACACTTCTCTCCTTAGGAAACTATAAAATAATCGGTAATCCTTTTATAAATTACAAATGATTAGAAAATAGAAGATAGAATGTTATTTTTACATAAAGTATTTTCTTTTTAAGGAGAAGTTTGAAAGTTTTGGTAAAAATAAAATTTTTAGGAGTAAGGAAGCATATAAAACAAGGGGCGTCTGAAAAATTGAGAGAATTAGTACCTAAGTTATTGAATTAAAACTATATAATAGAGCTTTTCTGTTTAAAAGAATATTCTAAGGCTATCAAAAGCAAGTTCGAGGTGACCATAGTGTTTTAATTAATTACAACTATGTAAAATCTGCATCTTATAAATATTTAAAAAAAAAACTTTATTGATCCATGTATTTATTTCAAATTTACAACTTAAATAAATACATTAATACAGGTTCATGATAACACCTTTACAAAAAATAGATAAATAACATCAATATAATTGCAAGTGTAAAAAATCAAGAATCAAAATTGAATGCATATTTAGATCAATATATAAATTGTGAAGTCAAAAGTTTACATTTTCAAGAAAAATATTAAAGAAATTTAAAGTTTAAGAATTAAAAAAAAACTCAATTTTGTCTGCCCCTAATTTCAAAATTGTACAAAAAAACTTTACATAGAGATACAACTGAAAAAAAAAACTGAAATACGTTAATTATGTATAAGCAACAAATAAATTTTAGAATTTTACAAGAAAAACCACTTATAGTTTAATTGCATACATAGTACATAAAAGGAAAACAAGCAATGTTTAATTATAAAACCTAAACAAAAAATTACCATAAACTGTCACAATTTGTAACTCTTTAGAAAAATCAAAAAAATTTAACTCATTTCATAACATTAAGTTAAAAATTTTTATTAATTGTACATACAGTATACAGTGCCAATGTGAAGTTAAAATTTACCAATACAAAAGTTAAAAATAGACAATAGCTACTTGATAAATATGTGTGTGTAAATTTCTATTTTTTTTCTTTTCCTTTTTTAAATGTGGTGATAAATAAAAGCTCACTCAAACATTTTTTTCTGTCTATATTATTTGATAAAGAACATTTTAAAGTTTTAAAATGAAAAGGTTATGTAAGTACTTTAATTCCTTCTAGTAAAAAAAAAAAAATTGTCAACATTAAATTATGTGTGTAAGGTAGTCATATATGCTAAAAGAGTCATATTAATGAAGTAAAACTTAAAGAAAAATCATATGTATACATGATTAATCTTATTTTTCTGACTAATGTATTAAAATATTGTTACTAAAAAGTAATCAATAAATTTAGTCACTGTAAACACATATTTTGCTTTTATTGACAAATCACAGGTTGTCCAAAAACTTTAGCATACCAGTATAAATATGATGCTAGAAAGATAAGATTAATTATTAAAACAGCTTTTATTGAAGTTGTTCAAAAAACAATCCCAATGAAAATATTAATGTTAAAAACATAAAACAAACAATTGTGAAAACTAAAAGGCAAAATTATATAAAAGGTTAAAGTTGTACATTTTATGCTAATAACACAATAAAATAACAAATATGTATGGGAAGCTGAAACAAATCATAATGAAATGAAATGGATTATAACTTACAAATAAAGAAATCCCATAAGCCCACATCAATGTTTTAAATAAATTCGAAATATAAATTTCTGTTAAAATACAACATAGGCTTAGATATTTACAGAAAAAAATAGTTCAATCATTGCCCAATTTTATATAGCTCAACTGATAAGGAATTAGGACAGCACATCTACCATTCAAGCACATGAAACACAAATTGAAAGTAATTATTCATAATCAAAAATTATAATTTTCATAAATTTATTATCAATTAATCAATAGAAATTAAAAATTTTAATTTAAAAAAAAAATCTTTCTTTTAGTGCATGTAATAATCTAGCACTTCTCATAAAAATATATTTGCCCATTTTCATTATCACTTTTTAAAATTAAATAGCTAGAAGCCTCTTTTTACAAGTAAAAGATATTAATTTTTAGAACAAAATCAAAGGTAAAAAATGTATAAATTCTGTTCTAATTGAGTTTTTCTTATGTAATACTACACATCAGCTGTTTTACAACACAAAAATTATTGCTTTGTACTTGTGCAAAGAGATACCCATTCTTTTAATGACCCTAACCAGAAAAAGCACATTTTAAACTTGTAAATTATTTTTTTTTTAATAATTATAATAGCCTTAGATAGTAAAGAATACTAAACAAATATTTTAATAAAATTAAAAATGCATACAGTTGTCTTATTTTCTATTTGAGAAGTCAGCAGCAAAATTTCTATTTATACAGTAGGGAACAGATTATTCGGAACGATCGGGACCATCGATATTCCGGATAACTGATTTTTCCGGTGTTCTGAATCGCTACAAAAAGCCGTTTTTTTTTATAGCAAACCTAACAAAAAANGCCGTTTTTTTAATTGTTAAGCCCAACAAAAAAAAAAAAAAAATTGGAAATAATCTTAAAAAGAAGAAAAAATGATGAAGAACACTAATGATTATTTCCAAAATGATGGTAAGGTAAACAACCTTCAAAAAAGAAAGAAAAATCCTAAAATCTTATGAGGAAAAAAAAAAAATGTTTTTCAAAAAATGGCGGGAAAACTAATCGAATTTCGTTCCGGTTTTTTGATTTCCGGATAACAGGTTCTGTACTGTATATATAAAATAATCAGAATATAAAATCTAGAGTTTCAAATTCAATTTTTGAAATTAACATTTCTAAGCTTTTACCAGTCTTATAAATAATTTCTAAGCCAGTCTTATAAATACATAGATTATAATCTGAAAACTTAAAAATATCAAGTGTCAAATATGTGAAAGGTAAAAACATCTTACACAATATGCCATTATTAAAGTCATGAATTATTTTATAGTATCAAGCAAAAACGTTTTAAACAAGTTTTTATATATTCGCCTAAGATAAAGTCATTGTTTCTCCTGTATGGATTATCAGATGGCTACCCAAGCTTTGACTAGAACAAAACCTATTACCACAAATATGACACAGATAAGGTCTTCTAGCATCATGCACAGATGCATGCTTTTTAAAATTTGTTCCATTGTGAGTTGAATATGGACAAAGCTCACAGTTGAATTTGAAGAATGGGAAGTATTCTTTATGATGCCACATTCTATGTTTTGAAAGGGTAACTTGGGAGGGAAAACACAAGGAACAGTTTTTACATCGTAGTCTCTGTAGTAGTCCTAAAGAAATCAATAATAGCAATGTTAGTAATCAACAAATACTTTTATTAGAAGACTGAAAAGTTAATAGAATATAGTTCAAAAATATTAACTTTTCAAAAATGATAAAAACTAAAGAAATAAATTTTTTTTTATTTCATGCATTGTATAATAGCTCAATGTATTTGAACTTACAGATGTAAAAGCTTTTCTTATCATTATTATGCAGATTCAATAACATCAATAAAATATTTTAAATGTTCTTCAAAACCTGCGCGAGTATACAATTGAGAGAAGCAGATTTTTTTAACTTCAGTAAAAATATGTTTTCTCCAAATAATTTTATAAAAATCTACAACAAAAAGATCTAACTACAACTCTACAACTAAAAGATTATAAATATCTAACAGTTAAATGATTATGAAAAAAAATATAGTCAAGACAATTACTTTATTTATTAATTTATATATTAACTCAATTTATCATCTGAACTGATCATGATGAACATTTGAAACTTCTGATGCGAAAATTTGCCTTAAAATTGAGGCTTAATATTTAAATGCATTTGCGCTGAGTATTAAATTCCATAGCACAAAAAGCACTTTATCAAAAAACATTTTTTACAATGTTGCAGACATGATAAAACTACAGCTTCAACACATGTGGCCTATTTTGAATAGATCACATATTTTCAATGCTGAACACTTTCAATGATTTGGGGAAGAGGAAAAGAAAAGTGTAGTAGTTGGGAATTAGAATATTTGGCAACAATACTAGTCAAGTAATATAATGGTCATTGATTACTTAAAAAGAGGGAAATTTTTTTTATCCATAACATTTGATGATTTTAGGTTGTTCTAAAGTCAGAGATATATTTTCAAAAATTCTGTAGTTGATATCTGTTTCATCCCTGAAATATTATAAAACATTAAAATTATACAATTATACAAGATTTGACTACATTGACTGTCAGTACATAATAAAAGTTTTATTTATTCACATTAATATTAAATAATTATTAAGAGGGTTTAAGAAATAAATTTAAAAAACTTGAATGGTTATGCCAATTAAATAAAATTTAAACAAAACATAGAATTACACTAATCAAACTTACATTTGATTAGTTTAGTAATATAGTATGGGCATCAGTCGCAGGTTTGCTTCCATGATTTTTTTTTTAGCAATACAAAAATAAATATTCATACTACAAAAATCTCGATCGCACTCTTTAAATGCAACTACAAGTGATAAGTTATGAAAGAAAAAAGGAAGTTTTAAAAATAAAAAAGTCACAAGACTTAAATCATTATGATTAAATGAGACCAGTTGATAATAATGAAAATAAAGCTTAACACATATATTTGAGTATCTATGTTATTTGACAAAAAATTTTTAGGCTTTGACAAAATTTGATAGTTTTTATACTAAGCAAATGAAAAAAAAAAACTGTTAAAAAAAGGTTAAAAGCTGATGATGTTGTCAAGACAAAGCTGCAGAAACAAAGAAGTCAAACCACAAAAAATGCATATTCTAAGATAAGTATTATTTTTAAAAATATTTATACATATTAAAATAGATAACAAAAAATATTGATGGAAATTTTTTTTACAAAAATAAATGCATAAATTCAGACACATAATTTCAAGTAAAAGCATTCGTTATAAATTAAATACTTACATTAAATATAACATTAATGTTGATTTTCATAGAATTTTTTTTCCCCCCTAATAATGTTGGGTTAACAAGCGTGAAATATTTTAAGCTTTACAAATGGCATTATTCAGACAATATAATTCAAATTATCCGGTGATCAGAAAAACTATACATATATATATTTTTTGCTATTACTAAAACTAATTTATTATCAATTTAGTAAACTATAACTATTTTTACAAAAAAATATTTTTAAAATGTAGTGACTACATTTAGAGTTGAATGATGTTGGATAACAAAATTTACACCCATGTTCAAAATGGTTTTGAATGAAAAATTGGCCTAAAAATCAAGAATTATTAAGAAATACTTATTCATGTTCATATGAGCCTGTTTGTAATACAAATAGTTTTTAAGAAATTTGTTCTTTTAAACTTTAACTTTTCATACTTTTCTCAACAGCAAATATGTAATTTAGATAATGCAAGAAATTCATAAAATATTTAAGATTTTGTTAAGTGTTTACTGATTTTTCAAGAAATAGAAGTACAGAGAAAATATATTTCCATCCAACATCAAGTATTTTGGAGTTCCATGAATGTACATTCCCATTTGAAGATATGGCCACCATTAGCTATTATTCTTAACAGCTAGTTTAAATATTAGTCATTATATATAATAGCTAAATTAAGGAAAAAGAGACTTGCTGTTCTGGAGCAACAGATGCAATTTTTATTAACGCTCAGTTCTAGGGGCAATTTTATTCTGTCTATTGATAGACCTGAAAAGACTTGTGCCAATCTGGTTGGAAAATTAGTCATATCTAATCATGTTTCTTTATTTTCAGGAATTGTGAAAGTAATAATTTTTTTCTTTTGTATTGTAACTCATTACCCTACTTCTTACTAATGTAGTGCGCTACTTCTGATCACTGAGATTATGTTACATTTTTCTTCCAGAGTAAAGTAAAACAGCAGGCTATAAGTTTTCTTGTCAATATAAAAAGGTACCGAGAATCAGGACCTTTTAATTCTACACTTTTAAAAAATAATCCTTTTGAGTAGAAGAAGCTGTGATGTAAAATATATTCTGGTGGAGAAGAAACGCTAATTTATTAAAATTGGTAATTATTGTAAATTGCTTTCGCATATAACTTTCCCGCATAGAATTTTATAGATATAATTATACAACGGACCATTAAAAGTAATCTAAAGAAAATTTTCGTCCGAATAGATAGAAATTTAAAGCAAAGTTTTTGAATCTTTTCTTTATTAAGATGGTATTTAGAATTTTAAGGTGATGGGTACGAAGAATTTTAAGGCACATATTAATACTCTCACTATGAATTATTAAACAATTTAAAAAGGACATAGGAACATAGATGTCATAAGAAATTTAAGATCTTAATTAGTTATTAATAACAGACTCGGAGAGTGGTTAAAGTTTAAAATTAGTTAGATATAAATGTAAACTAAACATTAAACCAAGTATAAACAATAAAAAAGGTAAAAGAGACGCTTTTATCTACCTATTTCTGCACAGCCAAAGACTAAAAAGAGAGTAAATAATTCAAACATAAATTGTAGTTCCATTAAACGACATAATAATCACCAAAGCAAACTAACTATTTAAAGTCACGTGATTTTTTTACAGATCGTAATTATTTATAGAGGTTGCTGAATGCACTGGGCTTCACTCCTGCTGCACCAAGGATCAATATTAGGCTTTCATATGATTGCTGTCAAGAGTTATATTGTGAAAAGTCGATAATCAACAAATGTGAAAGAGTCGTGGTGGCTCAGGGGATAGAGCACTCGCCTCCCAAGGAGGTGAACTGGGTTCGAATCCCCTTGTTGTAAAGCTAACTGTGGGAAGTCTTGTGGTTTTCCTCTCAATGTAACTCAAATTCGGGTTAATTCCATCGAAAGTCCTCCACGAAGGCAAAATTTCCCCCTATACTTGATCCAGGAGTTCCTTTGTGTTCTGGATTGGGTTCAAAATTACAAGGATACGGAGTTGAGCATTGGTAGTTGTTAACCCAGAATTGAGTTGACTAGTCGGCTGTTCCACGACTGTTATAAAATAAAATAAAATGGTTCGACCAATATGGCAAGTTGGTCTTCAGATAACTAAGGTAAATAAAAAAACAGCTATTTCTGTTGTTGTTGTAGTTCATTTACGTCGCACTAGAGCTGCACAATGGGCTACTGGCGACGGTCTGGGAAACATCCCTGAGGATGATCCGAAAACATACCCTCACAATTTTGATCCTCTGCAGAAGGGATGGCTCCCCTTCTTTGGCAGCCCGACGACCAGCACGAGAAGTCGAGCACGTTACGGTAGAGTAGTTTAACGAGGACCCATACCGCACACCCTCGGTCCATGCCTCGAGGACCCATACCGCACCCCCAGGTGGGAACCGTGTCTTAACTATCAGTCCACTGCGGGACCAGCTATTTGAATAGTGAACAAAAAAGAAAGAAAACAAAAGATTAGAATAATTTAGATAAAAAAGAAAGTTCCAGTTCAAATGGGGATAAACAATTAGTCAATAATGGAAAGTGTACTATGATATTTAACGTCATAGGTCCTTTCAATGTACCTTTCATCTTTTAGGGGCCATTTTTACTACATCTGATTACCTTAGATGCGCGTGCGAATGCTGCCTCAAGCGTGAATCTCATTGACTTGAGATTTCGCATTTAGAAGATTCCATTAGAAGTTTGGTTTAGTAACTTCTACTTACGTTGTATGTGATTCATTCTATATTATAATAAAATGTTCTCAAAACTGCATTCCATAGAAGTTCCTAAAATTCACTAAGTAAAAAAAAAACTTACACTTTATTGTCAAATGAAAATAGTTATCCTCTTTGTTCCTTGTTGCAATTTGCTTATCACTTTTTATACATTTTCGTGTTTTTCCTTCCCTTATTCTAGGCTTCGACACTGAAGAAAGTTCTTGATTAAAAGGCCTGTTTACACGGTCCAATTTCTTGAATCCGAGAAATTGGACGGATTTCTCTGTCCAAGAAATTGGATGATTCGTTGACATTAGACACTATCCAAGTTCTTGAATGTCGCTGATTCGTTGAAAGAAAAACTTGCGCATGCGCATTGTTCATATTCAACATTATAAAATAATACTNCTTGGACAGAGATTGATTGATATTGATGGAAACTTGTTTTGCTTTGAGCTTGGATCGTGTAAACAAACATCCAAGAACTTGGTCCAACTTCTTGGACGATAGTAGAGCATGTTCTACTTTCCATCCAAGTTTTTTCTCCCTTAACCAATCACCGTCCTAGGTTTTGTGACGTCAACAAGCAGGCAGCAAATTATGACATTTTGTTGTCTGTTTTCATATATTTTAGTCCAGATAAATTGATCTGTTGCGGTTTATTTGTGTTATTGTGATTTTATATGAATTTATTCAGTAATTTTAAAGTCATATAAGTATGATTTCATAATGTTGAATAGGAACAATGCGCATGCGCAAGTGTTTCTCCCGTCCAATCAGCGACATTCAAGAACTTGGATAGTGTCAACGAATCATCAAATTTCTTGGACAGAGAAATCCGTCCAATTTCTCGGATACAAGAAATTGGACCGTGTAAACGGGCCTTAAAAGTATTCACATTGTTTAGCTTTATTCGTACCTACAGTATTTATTGTTTATAATCATGAGTGGACTCTAGAACTTGGGATATTTAGAATTCAATTGAATCTATAATTTATAGATATATTAGTCAGAAATGGTTATACCGCACCAAACTGAAACATTACTTACTCCAGATATAAGGATTAATTGATGTGTAGTAAACTAAAACTGACGCAAAAAGTCTTGGAATTATGATTTTGAAATGTTACTAACTTGCAATGACTAGAGCTATATATGCGCAAACTATATGCACAAATCGTAGATAAATACAAACCTCTCTACTAAAATAACAATTTATAAATTAGACTAGGACGTTTAAAATGTATCTTGTAAGAGTCTGCTATAAATTAATAAATAAAATAATAAATAAATAAAAACAAAGAAAATAAATGAAATAATACAAATAAACACATATTCTAGAGAATAAAATTCGAATAAACCCAAAAATAATTAATTTATTAATTTAAATATTTGTAATAATATGAATTATAATACTATTGATAAAAATGATAATTTTAGTCTGAAAAAGGCAATAATGTACAAGATATTTAGTTCACACTGTATACTGAGATGTCATTTGGTAATGCAGCAGGCTCGTTTCGACTAAAATGTCCAATTATTTCTTGAAATGCATCCTCGAAAAAATTTTTTGTGTCGTACAAAAATTTCTTGTAAAGAGTAAAATCCTCCGTTCGACTGCTAACAGATGATAATAGAAAATTTCTCAAAAACTCATTTTCTTCTTTTTGACCACCAATTCTAAAAAATAAATAAATAATAATAATAATAATTAAATAATTAGAGCGTTATTCTGTGTCTTATTTACAGATTGATTCATATGTTTTTTTTATATATATTTATTTTACTTAAGATAATATATATACTCTGGTTAGAGTCGATTCACAATTCACAAATTTTTGATTCCACCAGAAATTTTTATTATCTGAAACAATTCCAGATAAAGCTGATAAAATATTGTAAAAATATATAAACGCATGCTCAGAAACCGAGTATGTGTACCACCTTCTAAATTGTGACAGTGTAGCAAGCGAAGGTGCCACCATTATCTAAGGATCACAGCTAAACCATAATTGGTGATCGAAATTGACTTCAGGTGGCTTAAAGCAGAACTCTCTACCAAAGAAAACACTTCACATGCTTTCACCATTAGCACGTTGAGAGTCATAGGAGAAGGAAGCACCTTAGTTTCTCTCGTGATTTTTAAATAGATTACAAACTTTTAAGTTGGGAAACTATTTGGAACTGAAAACTAAATTTAACATAGTTCTAAAAGAAAGCGTCATGGAAATAAAAAAAAAAATATTTTTGACAATTAAGTAAAAAAAATATTAAGAAAGAAGAAAATATCGTAGTACATTCCCATACAACCGAGAAGAGGAGGAGAGAAAAGGGGGAAGGGTCAAAACAAAGAACCGGTGTTCTCTCCAAATGGCGTATTCGAGCGTTGCGATTGCGAATCTCTAGCAGTATGTATCAAAATATATATGTGTTCGGAGTACATTCTTACACAACTGAGAAGAGAATAGAGGATAGAGAAGGGTCAAGCTGTATGTCATGACCCTTTCGCCTTCTCTATACATTATCTAACACCGGTTCCATATGGAACCGGTGTTCTCCCCAGATGGCGTATTCAAGCGTTGTGATCGCGAATCCCTAGAAGTATGTATCTAAATATATATGTGTATATGCATATGTATACATGCGTGCATATGAATACATAAGTGTATATGAATACATAAGTGTATATGAATACATAAGTGTGGAGTAGTCTGTTAAGGCGTCACTCACGCTTTTGGTAAGAGCTTGGGATCGTAAGTTCAATCCTGGCAACCGAGTAAACAATAATCAAGTATACGCAGCAAGGTGCAAGTTATATTTCTTGTAACGCTGCATTTTCGATTGCAGGGTGGAAGATTGGATAGAGGAGTACCAGCTCAGGCGTTCTCCAGGTTGTCTGACAGGGGTCTAAATCACGTGGCATTCCTACCATGTTCGTTAAAAGATAGAGCCTTGGAAAACGGGACAAGGTCCTTGGTCATGGATGGATGAGTATGTGGTTAGATAAGAGTATAAAAACTATTTACTTAATTCGTAAATCTTCGAGTTCATTTTTAGAGAGTAAAGCCTTCTTGGATAATGTTCGTTGCATTCTAGTTATTCTCTCTCTAAGATTACTTCTTTCGATGTCTTTCGCAGTGACCAATCTTCCAGTTTCGACTACCTGCGTGGCTATTCCATTCATTCTGAAAGAAACATTGCAGTCTTAATTGAATATAGTAGATCAATTATTGTCCAACCTTCAATGACACTGGAAAAACACGGAAATCATAAGAAATTATACAGTTAGAAGTTTTGCATAATTGTTGACCTAAATCTCATTAAGGTGAGTTGTCTTTAATGAGTTATCATGTTCAATTTAACGCTTTATAAAAGGTTGACAGAAATTTAAGCCGTAATTTGGTTCAATTATTGATATTATGGTTCACGTTGTACCAATTTTTCCGACATTTTAGAATGACATTACCAAGTGAATTTATTAATAGACCTATCAATATATAATAAAAAAAATCGCTATTTAATTACTAGAAGAAAAAAAAACTACTCTCGGAAACAAAATTAGTTACTTTTATAAATAAGAATACACAAAATAAGAAAGAGTTTAACTTTCTATAATTAGTTTTAATCTATAAATAGTATATAATAAAGAAAATCTATAATTCGGTTTAATCTCCAACAACCATGGAATTTGCTCAAGAAGCTATTAGACGGTAATCCATAAGTAAAATCATGAAATAAATTGAAAAACTATTATCGATGAAGTAAATAATTTTTTTCTTTTTCTTAAACTCTGGAACTAATGAGAAATCTGTCGGGGTTTTGAAATAGCGTAATCAGGTGCATTTAGTAAATTTAAAGGAAAATTAAGGATTTTTTATCAATAAAAATACGCACCAGGAAGAATTTAGAAGTTAATCTGTTATTAAAACTTTTATTTCGGTGATTTAAGTCAGCGAATAGACATGCTAAGTAAATGAGTGGGTGTGTGAGAAAAATTATTCTTTTTTTTTCTGATTAAAAGTTTAAGTGATGGAACTTATAGAGAGATATAATACAGAGATTTTGCGGTTTTCTAAGTACATGAATTTTCATCTAAAGATAAATTTTTGTGCAGTTTTTCTTTTCGAAAATATTAAATAATTTGCATGCGTCATGTGTGGAACGAACAATGGCTCATAGAGTGTTTGTTTACTTGCCTTTGTCATTGACTTAAAGTTCTTTTTAAGCATTCCAATTTCATCTAAAATTTATGAAATGAAAAGCATCATGTACTTTACACATTGTTCTCTTGTTAATACTGATTTAAACAAAATAGTTACTGTCGTTCTTGCAGTTGAAATATATATTGTAGGCGCTCTTTTTCGATTCGAGATGCTTCAAGAAGTTTTTGGTACATGGCGATATCAAAATGTAGTTGCCTTCTTTGTAAATTCATCGCTGCATTCTGCTCTCTTACGGAATCGTCTGCAATCGTAGTGCCTTCTACAGAAATTTCTTCGCTTTAGAAATCAAAATATTACAAATTAGGCATCAGAACACTAATTATGACTTCAACTATATTAAGTAACTGAGATCACTAATATGCTATTTTAATGCAGTTCAAATAAAATTTTAAAGGTAATTAAAAAGTAAGTAACTAAAGCTTATGGGTCGAAAATTAACAGTTAAATAAAGAAAATGTTCATTAATCTCTAACAAACCATTGTCTAAGTTGATACAAATAAAAACAATAAAATAAATAAAAGCATTTCTGCTGCATCCTATTGTGGGTTAGGGGGTCATAAAGGTTAAGGTGCGATCAACCGCAAGATGGTGGCAATGTAGTGGCTTCATGCTGCCGCTTGGAATCGAATGCTAGTTTTTCAAATAAATAAATAAGTAAAAAAAATCTAACAACTCTTTTATTCATTAAATGAGACAAAAATGAGTTAAAATTTCGTTAAAAAAGGTGGTCGCGCATTGTCGTCCATAAAAATGAACTCAGGGCCAACAGCGCCCCTGAAAAGATGCACATAGAGCTCTAGGACCTCCTGCCTGTACCTCTGGGCATTCACGGAACCATTGTCAAACGTATGGAGCGGTGTGCGGGTATCTTGCATGATCCCTGCCCAAACCATGAATCCTCCACCAGCATAATGGTCCCTTTCGATAATGTTGCTGGGATGGTAACGGGTTCCAGGTTCCCTCCATATCAATAACCGTCCAGAAATAGCGTCATAGAAATGTGCAAAAATGCTTTCCATCTCTTAATTTTGTCCACCAGTGTATATATATATTTTTCTTTTTATAACCGTCATTGAAGAGCCGACCCAATTTTTGGGTTTACGACTACTAATGTTCTTCAACTCCGTAGCCCTGTAATTTTGAACCCAGTCCAGAAGACAAGGGAACTACTGGATAAAGTATTGGGAGAAATTTTGCCTTCGTGGAGGACTTTTTTGATGCAACTAACCCGCGTTTGCGTTACATGGGGAGGAAGACCACGAGAACCTCCCACGGTTAACCTGATGGCGAAGAGACTCTAACCCAAGATTCGTCTACCACTGAGGATATTTCCCGTCAGCACTGTGGTCGATGCAAGCCGGATGCAGAATTCGTATCGACTGGGATTCGAACCCGGTTCGCCTCATTGGAAGGCGAACGCTCTATTCCCTGAGCCCAACGCGGCTCTTACATTTTATATCTGAACTTAACATAGTATTATTTAAATGCAGTCGTCCTTAACAAACAACACAAATGCAACAACAATAAATCAATAATGGCAAACATGGCATTACTCTGATGGATGGGTTTCTGTTTCGTTAAAAACTGCACTTGAACTGCGGTCTTTTAATTTGTTCGTTGCCGCTTCTATTTGGTTTTGTTTCTCCAAGTTATCTTGCTCCATAATTATTTGGTTTTGTTCATCCAAGTTATCCTGTTGTAAAACTGTTTGGCTTTGTTCGTCCAAGTTGACTTGCTGCAAAATTATTTGTAAAATATTGACATCACATTTTAATGTTATTTATTATTGTATTTGAAAACTCACGAATGGTTCATTTATCTCGGTAGTAAGTTTCACATCAAAACCATGTAGTTTGTAATGAAATTTAGAGAGTTCATTGTTCCTTGCAATGGTATTTATTTAGTACTATTAAAACTCGAAATTCCGTATCATTTGGGATTTGTAAAAATATGTAGACCAGATGTAAAATGTATTGCAGCATTTTAAATCAAGCTTCGCGAAACATTCGCATGCGAATGAAAATATGACTGACGAATTTTTAATAGATTGCAGACATTTAAATAGAATATTTATGCCTAAAAAATTTAGCTTTTGTGTTGCAACTTTGAAAAATTAGTTTTTAAATGTCTCTCGCAAAGTTTAAAACTTATCTATATGCATTTCTCTATAAAACTCGACATTTTATTTACTTTTTCTTAAAAAGGTTTTCTGCTCAACCTCTCAATGGTCGCATAGTTTTGAAGAAAACTTTCATAAAAGTGCCTTTTTTTTATTTAAGAAAATTACATGAAACTAAATCAATTACAATATAAATAACTTAAGTAAATTTTTAGTTTACATCTTATATGAATGCTAATATCTAGTTTAAAATAAACTAACTATCTCTAAACATATTACAATTCCAGTGATAAGAAATAGATTGTTTTATTCTTTTTTGGGCGTTATTTTGAACACACCTGTCAGGAAATATCACGGGCCCAAAAAAAGGTCGAAACTTCACCCTGTCATTTTGACTGGCGTGAAAAGGAAGAGGTTAAATGCAAAGTGAATAGCACCATTTTCAAAATTGACATTTGTAGAAAATTTAGGTTTCGGGTAGCAAATTTAAAAAATTAGTTTTTAAAATCTCTCTTGTTACATTGAAAACTTAGCCCTACGAAATCCTCTATAAAACTCGACATTCTATTGCTGTTTGTGAAAAAAAAAAGTTTTTGCTCGAATGAGAAATAAATAGTAAAATTTTCAATATTGACGTTTGCAGAAAGTATTTTAAAAATTTAGATTTTGAGTTGCAAATTCGAGAAATTATTTTTCAAAGTGTCCCTAGTAACTTTGAATGAAATTAGTCGCGTTCCCCTCTATAAGACTCGACGCTCTATTGTGATTTACGAAAAAAATTTACAGTACACACGCAGAGTGCATGTCATCATTTTAAAAATTACGCGAAAAATATTCTAATAATAAAATTTTTATGGAAAAAATTTGTGAAATTAATTTTTAACGAAATCCTTTTAAATTTATAGTAAAATTTATTATGCCACACATCTAAGAAACTATTTTCAAAAATGAAAAAAAAAAAAGTAGTTTATTTAAATATAATTTCATGCAAAAAAGTAATAATTTATATTTATTTATTATTGTTATTTATCGACCATAGGACTTCGATTCCACATATTTTACGATCATGTATATCTCAGTTACTCAGTGAGTCTTGGCACAGTCGAGGATCGAGCCAAGGGCCCTCCGAACAGCAGCCCGATTCTATAATCACTGGACTATCATGGCCCAGTTTAAATATGCAAAAGATGAATAAAAATAACAATAAATACGAGATATAACATACCAGAAAGTTTGTTTCGATGTCTTGTTTTAATTCAGAAAGCAATTGATGCTTTTGAACAAAAATATTCCGCAATGAATCCAGTATTTCCATATCGGAATCGTAATTATCCTTTAGGACCTGCAATTCCAGTTTGTAGAAATTCATCTTTTCTTGTGTTATTGATTTTTCAGCTTCTATTGCTTCTTGAATTTGTTTATGTTTCCTCTGAATAAAAAATGAGATTTTATTTAAAATTTACATTAAAAACTAAAATGATGAAGGAAAAAAAAAATTTTATACTAACTTTGGTGACCAGCTTGGTCACCTTTTAAAATTGTCTTGTACAATATATAAACTTTAATGGTAACCAAATCAAATGTCTAGCACAACTGTATTTCTCTCTTCAACCTTTTCACCAATTAACACCTTACACATTAATTAGTTTTAAACAATACATTAACCAATTTTTTCTCACCTTTTAGCTGTTGCCGCGAAGTGCTTTAACAATTTTTACCATTTTGAGAACTGTCACCGATATTGTCAAAGTATTTCATGCATTTAAATTTAGTAATTATTCGACCCTACTTGAATTATTAATGAAGCTAAATAAATATTTAACGTTAAACTAGCTATTTAACACGTCTTAAATTATTAGTTAAGACAATCAAAAGAAATTAATAATAATTATAACCATGCCAATAGATAGATAAATACCTAAGTTTATAGTGCCACATAAGAGAAATAATCAGGTGCATTTAGTAAATTTAAAGGANATATTTAAAAAATTAAATGTATAGTTACAGAATATATAATTATAGAAGCTATTTTATTTTTGGTACATAATAAGTAAGTGGATCAGAAATTTTTGAGCTTGTGCGGACAATGGTAAATTTTTTTTTCAAGCAAGGATCGCTGGTTAAACCTATGAATGGGGAAAGTTTGAGACTGTTTCCATTGTAACCATTTAAATAATTTTATTTGGTCTCTCCCACCATAAATTCAGAGGCAGCGCCCTTTTGCCTACATCCTTTGAAAACTAAATAAAAACACTATAAAAATTGTTTCCTTTTTTTTTTTATAAACCTAGGTGGCTCCAATCTACTGTTCCCTTCGTTCACCAAATATTTACTTGAAAATTAAATGAAAATTTCGTATTAAATCAAAAAATTACTATGTTTTATTTAGAGTTTAAAGATTTCGCTATCTTGAAATGCATTTAATATTGAAAGTGAATTACCCTCCACTCCCTACTAAACCTACCGTGTAACAATCAATCAGCATGTTATTGTCTTGTGCTTTAGTGTGCAATGTTTGCAATTCCCCTTTTAATGCAGATACCTCGTCATCCAGTCTTTTATTTCGAGCTTTACAACCGACAAGTTCTCTTCGTATTTCAGCTCTCTCTTCCACAGTATCTTGAATTTGACTTTCAATTGTCTAAAATAAATGTTATGGATTATTAGAATTTTGTTAACGATATTTTACCGTCACAATGAAGTTGTTCTTCGTCGTTACTGAATGTCATTGGTGCAAGAGTTAGTTCCCACCAGGTATTGCGAAATCTAAGGAGGAAAAATTTGATTCACTTGTCAGAGAACGTTTTTTTTTTCATTCCCTCCTTTATACAGGCGTTGTATGGTAAAATAGATTTTTTAAACATTGCGATAACAGTGATTCTAAATTTATTTTCAAAATATATCGGTAATATCATGTCTTATAATATAGACTGTACGAATAACGTGATCGTTACGTGCAGTGCGAAAAAGGAAAAAACAAAAAAGAGCCACTCTGAATAACATTTGATCGAATTATCGGATCTTAACGTTCTAGGACTCAATCTTGTTCAGAGGGTGACCTCGATATGCTAACTAATTAATGCTCGCGTAAGTTACGAAATCACACACAAAAACGTACTTTCCCTGAATAAGTAAGTTTTTTTTTCTTCAACATGTTGAATTATGAACAGATCTGAATAAGTATACCTTTTTTCGACAGATTCAGAATTCAGATCTCCAAAATAGTGAGCGTAACCGCAATCTGGGAAATATGGTCTCAATAGTTTGGTCAGGAGTGCGGTCCAAAGTTTGGACCTCTTATAATGTTAGTTTCATTTTTTACATATTTCGCTACATCTCGAGAACTTTTTGTGCGAATTAAATTTTTTTTTTTTTTCTGCATACAATTAGAAAATTCGTTTATCCAAAGATAATTCTATGAAAAAATAACTTTCAGTTAATATTCATTATTTTTTTTAACTTTAATTAATAATAATCAAAAAATTTCTGAATTATAAGGCATTCAATTTTTGCATAAATTTATAGAATCTAATTTTACATGGCAAAATACAAATTTTGAGCGAAATCAGTCAAATGTTCCTGAGAAGTCAAATTTTTTAAAAAAAAAAATCATATGGTGATCCGTTTTTTTTAGCACTGTACAATAGTCTCAAACTCTAATCTGAATCACATTCACTATGTAAGACAGACATAAAAGAAATTCTTATTCCTTGCTTTGTTGTTTTATAACCTCCAACCAGGAGAAGTAGTACTTGTTTTCATTTTATACATAGCCGCCAGCCTTTCCGTTTTAACTCGAAGAATTTTCCTATTGATAAAAAAAAAAAAAAAAAAAAAAAACTTATATTTTAATATTCATTTTTGAATTTAATAACTGTAATTTAAAAAGATTATGACCACCATGATGTACAAATTACTTTTTATAATTATGTTAATAGGTAAGAGCTACATTAAATAACAAAGAACTTTGATAACACCTATTGCTCTTTTACTACCAATGTAATTATAAGTAGAAAAATGCCAAGTACTTGTAAAGTATCCACCATACCTGCCATAAGAAATCGATATAATCTTAGTATTTGGCCGGTATGTTTTCTACTTTGTACTCAATGATTTGAAGTAATGTTTTATAACCGTCGTTGAACAGTCGACCCAATTTTATGGGTTTACGTCGACCAATGTTCAACTCCACAGCCTTGTAGTTTTGAACCCAATCCAGAAGACAAGGGAACTTTTGGATCAAGCATTGGAACAAACTAGCCTTCGTGGAGGACCTTTTTGATGGAACTAACTAGCATTTGCATTACATGAGAGGAAAGCAACGAGAACCTCCCAAGGTTAGCCTGGCGGCAAAGGGACTCCAACCCATGATCCGTCTACCACTGAGAGGATATTTCATGTCAGCACTGTGGTCGGTGCAAACCGGATGTGGAATTCGTATCGACTGGGATTCGAGCCCGGTTCACCGCATTGGAAGGCGAACGCTCTATCCCCTGAGCCATCGCGGCTCTGAAGTAATGTTTTGCCGCATTTCATAGAAATTTAAGAATAGATGATATCCTTAAATAAAAATACTGAATTATACTGAATATAATTTTAAATACTGAACGCCTTTAGTATTTAAACTTAAAAACCTACTTTGAAGGATTTTGTGAGTCTCATGTCGCTTTCATTTTTCTGTATTTGACTGTCCAATTCTGCCCGAAGCAAATTTACTTCTTCTCTAAGTTCTTTGAATCTTGTTTTCTCTGCAGCAAGTCGTCTCCGCAATTCATTGCTCTCTTCCAGCAGTGGAGCTACATCTCTCTCAGTGGTCTAAAAGAGACATCAAATATATTAAAAATTTTACTAAACTATTAAACTTTCAGAACTTCTTACAATAAATATGCCAACAAATAAAACGATATAATTAATACCAATAAAGTGTTATATATAAGAACAATATACTCACTTACACTCCAAGATGTCCTGTAATCAATCAGCCTTAATGTGTATGCCTTTAAAATGCCTAAATAAAGATAGGGTATGTTCTGTGCTTTTGCGCGAAATTAATGATCCCACCAACCACAGGGATTATAAAATCGTTAACTAATCGCCACCCGAAGTGCATTTATAATTTTTTTAAAAATAAATCGGGAAATATTATGAATATTTCATAATGTTCTGAAAAATACTTCACTTTAAGCTCCTTTTTTTTTGAAATTTTTCTTCATTATAGTGGCGAACCTAGTAATGTTTATCATGCACTTTGAGAATCGCTTCAAAATAAATGTCTTACATTATTAATATCAATGGTTTTATATATCGTGAAATTTTTTTTAATTTTTTAAAAAGCGACAACTGTTAAAAATGCTACAACTGACCAACGGGCAGTAGCAAAGCTTTGGTATGTGCAGACTTCCAAATATCTCTGCAGCGAGTCACTGCTTCATTGTGTGGGTGGTTGTGGGCTAGTAGGCGTGGTCGATGCTTTATAGAAAGTAGATACTTCAGAAGAAAAAAGGGAGTTCAACCAACACCGCCTAGAAGAGAGAAGAACTTTAAAGGGGTTAAACAAGAAGTCCGATCCTTTAGTGGCCTGAACACAATTTTCCTTCCCACTCGGTAGTTTAGGTTCATTACGTCAGACTACTAGATTGATGCGTAGAGAAGCCTTCTCTCTTCTAGGTGTTGGTTCAACGTTGTTAATTCACATTAGCCGACACCCAAAGTATGACTCATCATCTCTCATCCATACGCATAATGTTCCATTTTTAATAATCCTGAAATATCAGCTGTCTTCTGTCTGATTTTTTTCCAACATTAATTCTAATGGCATAAAATTCAAATATTTCGCAAATTTTTGGACACCCTTAAATAATGATTTGAAAAAGAAATCCTCTTTTAGAAGGCCCTTTTTCTTAAAATAGTAAAGTTTGATATTTTTTTTAATTTCTTATTATTATAATAACTGGCAACAGATAATACTATCAAGTATTATTTAATAATAATATTAAAAAATCGGTAGGGAAAAATTGAAAATAGTTTATAATAATAAATACTTCTTTAGCTTTTCGGCGTTCCAATTCAATTTTCCAGAAATCTTTTTTATCTTCACTTTTTTTCACCTTAGGGCATTCAATAATTTGAGTTTTCGACGAGGTTCCTTCGAGCTGATTCAAATAGTCTTGCAGCTGTTGGAGTTTCCTTTTGAGGTGAATAATGGTTTCCATTCTTTGTTTTCGACTGGAATCAGAACCGCGTTTCAGCATGTCTTGAAAGTCTAACGAAGAAGCCCCTACCTCTTTGTACACCATCTATTAGGTTAATAATAATCATAATCGATAATCGTGATATAATTGACGGATCAATTAAATTACTCAAAATAAAACTGAATTGCAAACTATCTAACTTAGTTTGCTAATTTTTTTAAAACGATAACATCATGCACATTGTGGAGGAGTCTGTGTTAAAAAGATATTTTTGGGTTGTCGGCAGAATTCGAACCAAGAACCTCTGGAGTCGTAGTCGGATGCTCTACCCACCATAGAAAAGGATGTGCATCCCAGTCCAGGGTGAGTTAGAAAGCTTTATATATAGTGGCTGCCACACACTCCACCTCCAGTGAGCGAGAATTCTTACTCGTTGTCAGTCACGAGCGTTTCACGAGACAGTGAGGCCGTGATAGAAGCCACCATACCAGTGCAGTTCAGGCTTTGACGCAGTGGACCCAAATGATTTGTTTGTCGAATCAAGACGAACAGTGGAATAAGGCGATGTAGTATAGTGCTGCCATCTGTCGATCAGTGAAAGAGTTGTGTCGCGCGTTTGAGTTCCCGTAGTCACCAACGTGGAGGAGAGGGCGTGAGAGAGATATTTGTTAGCAGGATTCGAACCAAGAACTTCTGAAGTCATCGTAGAAGAGGACGTACGCCCAGTCCAGGGTGAGTTAAGAAGCTTTATATATAGTAACCTCCGCAACATAACTATAGTTTGTCTATAGAAAGAACTCCCTTCACCACGAAGTCTGAGCCTGCATACTGTTATGGAAACAAGAACAGCGTATTTCAGTGAGGGGAGTTTCTCTTTCACCCGATTTCCTTTTTCTTGCCGAGCCGAGCCTTAACCTATCTTAAATATTGTCCCAACACCCCTCGTAACCTTAGTTACCGCTACTGCAATGGAGAGAGGAGTTCTTTCCATAGATAGACAATAATATAATTTTCGTAGCACGCATTATTTTATTTTTAAATAGGTTTGTAGCTTTTGACTGATTCAGTGTTAAATCATGACTTTTTGGGTATATTTTACAATACAAAACACCTGCGTTTGATAAGTTTTATTTATTCAAGTAAATTTCATTAGAAGAAGAGAAAAGTTACCCTTTTAGCCTGCTGCAAACTTCTTTTTAACATTTGGTTTTCATTTTTACATTCCGTTAGCCTGAAACTTAGTTGTTCAATTTTATCTCTTAATTCTCGTACCATAGGATTCGATTCCATTTTCTGAAACATATTAATAAGTATTAATTACAATTTAAGCATTTTCATAAGATGTATAATGAGCGAGCTTCGTTTACTTCCATGTTAAGGCAAAGCATTCGAAAATCACCCTTACACGCCATTTTTTAGAATAACCGAATCCCTTCCCTTCCATCTTCGAGAGGTTTTCCGTCCCGCAGTGGACTGATCGTAAATAAACGGTTCCCAGTAGAACACCGAAGTCAAGCATCACTGGCTGTGGTCAGTAAGCGGGTGGGTGACCACTTTGATCCAGGGCTAAAGAGAATAGAAGGGCTGGTTCCTTTGAAGATCTCTCGTGTCTGTGACGTTGAGGTAAAATTTTGCTAAATGACTCATTGTCCAAGGGAAATGTAATTTTTATTATTAAATTTCTATTATTGTTGTTCAACTAAAGTAAGTTTGATTATATTTTTAGATTTATATATGGGTCATTCTCACGAAAACTGTCATTTTTCAGTTCATAAAATCCCAAAAAAGTAAAGTGAATAAAAAGCTCTGAAACTTTTTATATTAATAGAAATATGTAATGGCATTATAAAGAAAGTATATATCCTATAAATTATACTTAATATTTAAATTAATTAATTTTTTAAATAATTAATTTATAATTAATTAATTTATAATAATTAATAATTAATTAATTAATTTAATAAATAAATTAATTAATTTAATAAATTAATTTATTAATTTTTTAATTTATTTTTCAAATTAATTAATAAGTAAATTAATTATTTTCACTATTTAAAAAGTGAGGGAATGACACTAATAGTGAGGGAATGATATTTTATTTTAATACATGTTTTTATCTAAGTTACATCTACCTAAAGTTTGAAAATGATAACATACTAAGTATATCTAATATTTATTATAATTTAGTCTTATATATTTAATAGTTTTTACAGGTTTGGGAAATAAAATTGGCTGGCACGATTGAACAAAAAAAAATTTGATAATATACTCATCTTGAATCATTCCCTCACTTCAGCGTCATTCCCTCACTTTATACACTAGTGAGGGAATGACGAATTCAATAAAATTTAAAAATAACAGTTAGGCCTAATTAATTTCTGAAGTCAATCACATACAATTATATTCATACAAGAAAGCAACATATAATTATCCACTTTCTCGATGAAGTTGTATTTTATTTTACTCTAAAAAATGACATGAGGGAATGACAAATGTAAAAAATTTTACCTGGTTTGATTCATTCAAATTTATTCCACAGCAAAGCTTCTTTAAGTTGAAGATGGAAACATACTGCAATTTTGTTCTATGATGCCAGTTGTTAACTTCTGAAGTTTTTATTAAAATATTTTTATTCTAAGAAGATTGCAGGTGATAAGAACATTGTTGTGAGGGAATGACGCGAAACACTGGGGACAAAGTTTAAAATAGTGCTGTGTTAATATTTTTATCAGAAATTAAATTTAAAATTGATTTTCTGAATTCTATATTTCAGTATTCTGAAATAAAAAACACGAATTTGTAAAAAAAAAATTTTTATTTCAGAAACAATTTTTTTCTTTTTTTAAATCAGCAGTGGGGACAAGTGAGGGAATGACATATTGGTATATTTTAATTACCTAAAATAAATAAAAAATAAAAATTGATAATTTTATTTTTATTCTTTTGTTAGCTTGCATTCTGAAGGACACTTTCCCTGATTTTTTTTTTCGTAAGCTGTAAAACAAACATAAAATATACTGGGGACATGAAAACGACTGTTTTTGTGAGAATGACCCATATATATATATATATAAGAAAAATTAAAAAAGTCTATAGGTAGTTATAAGAAATGATAGCGTTTTTTTAAATCGGTACTTAACACGTTGTCGAACACTTTTAATTCGATAATCGTGGTTTTTTTTTTTTCAATTGCTTATGACTGCCATGTAAAATTCTTCAAGGTATTACTGAATAATTGATTAAAAAAAATGCATAGTATATATTCTTCGTACAAAGGATGTTCTTTTTTTATTAATTTTTTTAATTTCATTGCCGTCGTTGGAATGGATTATCAGATTCTAATTTTACGACTACTAATGTTGAACATCGTAACCCTGTAATTTTGAACAAAATACAGAAGACAAGGGAACTCCTGGATCAAGTATTGATAGAAATTTATTTTCTTGGAGGACTTTTTGAAGGAATAACTCTCCTTTTCTTTACACGGAGAGAAAAACTACGAAAATCTCTCATGGTTAGCCTGACGGCAAGGGGACTCTAATCCATAATCCACCTACCACTGAGAATATTTTACGTCAGCACTGTGGTTGGTGCAAGCCTGGTGCAGAATTCGTATCGACCAGCCATAACTGGGATTCGAACCCGGGTCACCCCAAAGGTGCGTGCTCTATCCCCTGAGCTACCAGAATCAGGGTGTTTACGATCACGGAAAGTTTCATGACCTTTATTTCAAATTTGGTGATTTTCAAGGATTTTGAAGCTGACTAATTTTTTAAGATACAAATTTTTCCAACGAATCTGATAGTGAAGAATAGGAATTAGTTTTTAGAAATAAGTGGAAATGAACAGATCTAACTAAAAGAAATTTTTGTTTGAGACTGCAGAGATTCTGAGGATGGCTATAGTCGTCATTTGCGGCTGTTAAATTCCTCTGCCAAATTTTTATTTTAAAACCGTAATTTGAGTTACTTTCTAATTCAGAATATGTGGATTTCACGAAACTACCATTTAAATTCAATGCTACCAACCATGTTGAATCATAGTGTAGTGTAATCAAGTTCATACTGCCTCATTTTATACGTTAATAGGGATCAACATTTCATCATATTAAGGTTTCAGCAAATTTAAACAATATTGTGATTCAACACCAATTTGAAATATCTAAGTTTAGAATACACGTGAAAGTTATAATTGCTATTAGGATCTCACTAGGGCCGTTCAAATGATACGTAAATATATTTTTGATAATTTTGGACTCCCCGTTTTCCTTTGTCTGCAAAAATAAGCAAATCACAACCCCCTTCCATGCTTACGTAAGGAAGTTGCAGCACCTTTTCCGGTTTTTGCTTTCACTTTGACTGTAGCAATCTAATTTCAGGATTAAATTCGAATAAAAAGCTTCCGTTAAACAAAGTTTCAAGGTTCATTAAAAAAGGGTTTTGCTTTTTATTCATTTTAGAGAACTTTGAGTCGAATACATTCTTTAGAAATCTTTTGAGTTCAATACTCTTGACCTCCCTTTCCAATTTTTTCTTTTCCCAAATTTCACGAGTAATTTTTTTATGTATTTTACTTTGCTTTTTATGAAAATAAGGAGAGTTTAATGTCTTACGTAAGCAGTGCTCAGACCCCTCCCCCCTTGTCAGCAAAAATAAGCAAATCAGAAACCCCTCCCGCTGTTAGGTGCTTACGTAATATTTGAATGGCCCATATCAGAATGCTGATACATAACAATCTTGAAGACTCCATAAAAAAATCCAAATGGTTTAACTTACTTTAAGTTTTTGATAGTCGCAAGCGTCGCAACGCGAGTGAAATTCTTCCCGGTCAGTCTTTGACATCCCTGGCTTTTCCTAATATCGTCTCAACAAGTTTTCAGTCTCTGCCATAAGAAAAGTTGGGTTGACTCGGACAGTCATTAAATAGAATTATGTGCAAGGTGTTTCGTAATCACCACCCTTAATATATATTTTAAAATGTTGTTTTTTTCATGAAGTAAAGACAAATATAATATTAAGGGTAGCGAATCCATATTAAATAAATAAAAAAAAGAAAGGAAAATGAAACTAAAAAATGTCGAATCATACTTTGGTTTAATAACCAAAGCGAGATTAAAAGATTCATTTGATTGCCGAGGAAGTTGAAAGGATGCGAAAGTGTTTATTCGGAACCATAAGATTCATGCAACTACTAAACTTTTTTGACTTTTTGATCCCGTTTTACTCAATAGTGATTTCGTATTTCTTTTTATTGATGTTTTTGTTTTTCCCTAGCCTAGGAATGAATTTCCTACTCCTAATATGCATACTTTGTACTTTTTGCAGGCTCTCAAAATATGTTAAGCACAGTTATTACGGAACACTCTATGTAACACTACTCATATAAACTATCGTATATCGTTATCATCAATAAACATGCTATCACATAAATATCGTTGCACGACTAATAAGCGGAACACTACTCATATAAAACATGGTTGTTTCAAAACAACCTCATTTTATGCGCGGGTTTTTTAAAATTTACTATTGTGTGATATATTGCAAATGGCTATGTGTTAGGAAGGTGTTGAATTTCTTAATTAGAAGTGTGGGGAGAGGAGTATTAGACCATGTCAACCGTCATCTATGAAAAGGTACCCCGACATACAGTCGAGTTAACATGTCTTATGTACTAGTGACTTGTAGTTGTAATTTTGTAGTGGTAGATACGCTACAGTACTCCCCCACTAGAATTATATCTGTGATAGAATTCGATGAACGAATACCACTAGTTGATTCATTGCTGTTCTGTGAGAAGCTGGGAGAGCTGTATTAAGATCACCGTATTTTTTTGAGTGCTGAATGTGAGAGGTGTATTAACTTCACGGTCGTAGTCGCTCCTCTGTTGCCGTTAGCTGTCCAGTAATCACAAGTATGCAAGCCGACGTTGTGCATGATCGAGACGAGACTGAGTAGCAACAGTGCGAGGAGGTGGATAATGTCACAGTCACAAGTCAACTGTTCAATGTGGATCATCCATCGAAGTAGGCGTTACTGTCTAGGTAGGCGTGTTCACATCATGTCCGGGTCACCAATGTGGGGAGAGGAGTATTAGACCATGTCAACCGTCATCTATGAAAAGGTACCCCGACATACAGTCGAGTTAACATGTCTTATGTACTAGTGAATTGTAGTTGTAATTTTGTAGTGGTAGATACGCTACAGAAGTAACCATGGTGACTGAGATTGTGTTAGGCATGTAAATTCAAAAGCTAATTAAAAAAAGCTTACTATATAATAATAACCACTTTTTTCTTAGCTTACTTAGATAGATTTACCTTATTTATATTTTAACACGGGTCTCACGATCCAAATTTGATTCGCCAAATGCAACAAAACCTTTTTTATTTTCTTTATCGTTATTATAATTTTAAACTGCATTAATAAAATGAGGATTAAAGTTAATGCACATCTTTTAGAACAAGAAAAAAAAATTGTATCAAGAGGAAATGACTACCAATAATCTTGATTATCCAATTGGGTTAGTCCTTATTAACTGCACGATTATTATTAATATGATTTTAGAATTAGCGATTGTTATTATTATGAATCTGTTAGTTCGGTACCAAAAAAGGTTGGTAAAACTGGCATCAGACTTTTATTTATTTGACCCTGAGTGTACTTTTACTTTTATTACATTTAATTTAACTTACAATAATGAAGGGTAGAAAAATACAGCTTGCATAAAATTGCAAATTTTTTTATCAATCGCTAAAATTAAATTAGATAACTTAGTGGTAATAATCATTAATATTTTAAAAACTTGGCGACTATTTTAGTGCAAGGGCTTTCATCTGATATCCAGGCAATGGATAAGTACTGATCAGTGTTTGAAATGCGGTTGATATTTATGTTTTCAAGTACTAAACGATTAATAATGAAGTTTTCAATTTTTTATGGCATGAGAATTGATTAAAAGAAGAATAACTTTCTTCGCAGAAAAAAATGTAATACTTATGTGTTTCAGGGACCTAAAGAAACTTATAACCACAGTACCTATATTATTACATCAGGTAACTATTACAACACAACAGCATCTATTACAACAATACCAGTAGTACCTATTTATGGCGATATTTCTATGGCTGTTCGGAATGGAAGTACTGAAAATAACTCCCAAGTACTAAAAATAACTCCCAATAATGCAATCGTAAATCAGATATAAATACAAAATTTTGGTTTCTTTTGCACTTTTCGGAGAAGGATTTTTTTTTTTTTTTAATACATAAACGAAAACGATTTTTTAGTAATTCCAAACGCAACTGAATTAAACATCGATTAAATCTCGTAATTATATTTGTAACTTCACAGCAAATTTTGAAAATAAACTCTGTATTTTTACTTGCCATTGAACATCAATGCAATACTTCTCGCTATTCTGCCCAATATATATTTTTTAAAATGATATAACACTTAAATTATTTTTTCAAACTAAATTACTAATCTGATTTCAAATTTTTTAAAATTAAAAATGTAATTTTTAAATTTGATTCTTACATTTAAAAAAAAATTTAATGCGCTCATATAATATTTTCATGGGAATTTTCGATAAAACTAACTTACATGCACAGAAAAAAAATGCTTTGAACATCATTTTAAGAATTTACGATTTAAAAGAAAAGTACTTACAAGCAGTTTACAAAGCTTAAAGACCAGGGAAAATTATAAGAAATATATATTTTCTTCTTTTAAATTTGAAAGTATGTTGTTAAAAATTGGGTAATTGCATAGTTTGTTTTTTAATTTAACGGTAATAATGCCACAGTTGAAGAATAAAAAGTTACAATAAAATAAATTTAAATTGATAATTTCAAAAATAAATAATACGTAATTTATTTCACATTAAATTATTTTCAGTATTTTTAAAAAATTATATGGTACATATAGTTAATTCCTTCCTAATTTTTTGACCAGGGTATAGTATTTTTTTTTCCTTTCAAAAGAGATTACCGTGAAAAATTACTGTAACTTCATTTTTGTTTTGTTGGTTGATTGTTACCTATTCGACGATTTTATAGAGATCATGTGATTTTGGGCAAATGGAGTAAAAAGATTGCTAATTTGTTTCTTCAGCGCACTTTCTCGTAACAGGGGCAAAGTTTGGTCTCTTGAGAATGATTTCTTATACAATAATTCGTTACTTATTGTCCGTAGATTGAAGAACTAATAAGGTCTTTTTTTTTCTTCTTCTTATTCAGTTTTGTCAGCTATAGTATATTGTACCGTTTGTATTTAGAGCTATAAGGCCAATTTCGGTTTTTGTTCCGTTAAACTCTACATCTCATGTGTTCACTAATCGTTTGTATAACTTGAAGGAGGTAATAATACTAATGGAACTTTATGAGGGGGAGGAAGACATCTTAATTTTTGTTGACCTATTCCAATCGTGGTACTTTCTTAAATAGCATTTTATTTAAGGTAAAAAGCCAAATTTCTGTACTGTTGCAATTTTCTTTAATTAAAGTCTTCATTAGAGCTGTGATGGCTCAGGGGATAGCGCTTCCGCCTTCCAATGAGGGAATGGCTGGATGATATGAATTTCGCACCCGTCTACAGTGCTGACGTAAAATATCCTCAGTGGTAGACGGATCGTGGATTAGAGTCCCCTTGCCGTCAGGCTAACCGTGTGGTTTTTCTCTCCATGTAACGATAATGCGGGTTAGTTCACTCAAAAAGTCGTCCACGAAGGCAAATTTCTCCTAATAGTTGATCCAGTAGTTCCCTTGTCTTCTGGATTGGGTTCAAAATTACAAGGCTACGAAGTTGAACATCAGTAGGCGTAAGTCTATAAATGGGTCGCCTATTCAACGACGGTTATAAAATAAATTCCTTATTAAAAGAGTTACTCAAAATTATATAAATCTTCATATCTTAAGAGGAATAGAATTTTTAGGCCATTCAGTCTGTGGTACTATATTGTAAAACTATATTCTCTAACCTACTTAGAGATCTATTGAAAAGAATAAGTGATAAGAATGTAAGCATAGTTAACAAATAGATAGGGTTACCTTTGTGCTGCTAGCAAACAACAGCATAACAAGTTTCAGTGAATAGGTTCAATTGTTTCGGTTCAGCACTCATCTCAAGAATTACATTCGTTAGAGCTGAGGAGGTAAAGAAATAAAAGCAAAAAAAAAAAAAAAAAGGCACTGATAAAGATAATTCTGTAGTATCGGAACAACAGTCAGATTCATTTATAAATAAAGCTCTTTTATTCCTCTTCACGAAATTGCTTATGGGTAAATAAGCTTTACAACAGCATTGCAAAAACTTTAAAACTAACTTAGTTTTAGTTCTAAAAGTATGGCGGAAAAACTCGAAAGTGCAAAAATGGTTGCTAAATTTTAAGTATCTTTTCATATGCAATGCGTTAAAAACTATAAAATAATAGCAAATTAAAAAATTTTAATGTACTTTTCAGTTAGCCAGACGCAAACAAAAAATCGTCCAAAAATGTAGACCTTTACAAACTTTTTTCTTATTTTACTGTATTTTTAATATTATTTTTTCTTACACTCAACAAAACAGACATTCAAAAAAATTAAATAAAAGAAAAATAGTTGAATTTCTTTGAGCCAGCTAACCGAATAGTATCAAAATTAGAATAGAATAAAATATACACTGTAAAAATATTGGAGTATATTTTATTCAAAAAGAAATATTTTAGATAAGAAAATAAATTTGAAACTGAGTCATTTTTCAAATAGTTTCTCACGTTATAAAATGACTTTTAAATAAAATATTTCAGAATACTTTTTGGATCACAGATCATTTTCACATTATGTTGGAAATTCTTCCGATTATTTCAACATCAAGCAAATTTAATAGCATTTAAGGTAAATTTTTTTGCGAATTTATTTTCCATTTTTATGAACAAATTCCAATTTAAATGAATTTTTTTTAATTTCTTCTATAACAAATAAATTTACAAGTCACAACACAAAAAAAGACATACATATTTTGCTAATAAACTTCTAAAAAAGGATTTAGATTGCCGAAACTGCAGTGGAAGAATACAGCTGCCGGAAGAGAAGCACACAACATTCGATAAAAATTTCATCTTTACAGTTTAAAGGGAATTAAGTAGAATCCTTCTAAGTTGTGTTGCTCTAAAGCCGGGTTTCTTAAACTTTTTCGGGGTGGACACACCATAATATTTACGAAAATTTTGCAGACCTTCGAAAGCATCATGCAAATCAAACACTCGCGTGAATGAAACAGAGAAATTGTCAAGTTTCTTGAAATGTATTGAAATATACCATAGTAGGTTTAGGTCTTTAAGACATCAAAAAAATATATTCAATAATAAAAATAAATTTAATTACTTCTGTAAGTTCAAACATTAACTATAGTCTGTCTATTAAGTGTACTACTAAGAAAACAATCTTACAGCGCGATTGTGAGGATAAAGTATAAATGGGAAGGGTGTCCCTGTTTGTTTTTAATTAGATTATATCTTGGCAAAATAGTCAAAACCTCAGGTCGAAGCACTTCTTCAATATTCTTTCGATTTGATCGATACTTTGATTTCATGGTGGTGCTGAAAGACGAAAATGTCGCCTCACACAAATATGTTGTATAAAAAGGTAAAACAAAGTTTATGGAAGTTTCAAAAGTCATTGAAAATTCTTTTACGACTCCTAGTCAAATATCTTCAAGGAATTTCGCATTAAAATCAATTTTTAACTCCAAAACACTCGGAAAGTTTTTGCTGGAGGTTTAATTGGCAATTTAGTAATGTTTTTCACATCAATTCTGAATGGTTTCACAATGCATATAAGTTCATCGACACTAAAATATGACAAGATGCCGAAGATGTTCATTTACAACTTTTTTAACAAGTAATTTTTTTTGATGATTCGCTGCACATAATTCATTTATCGAGCCAAACACTTCTGATGAACCATTTTCTCCGATGACTTTCGAAAGGTAATTTTCATAATAAAAGGATCATTATTTTACTGGAATATGTTGCAACTTTTTCTTTGAAACGACAAATTTAGTTTGTTTAATTTTTCAAATACACCACTCAAATAACATATTTTTTGTAGCCAAAATTTATAATGGAAAAAATTCGCGAAAATCAGATTTTTGGTCAGTTAGAAAAAGAAGTACTTTCATCATTTAATTTCAATACAAACTTTTTGAACTGCAGTTTCTTGAAAGCCACTTTAAGACTGCCTCTAATAGTAAGTTTTCATATTCAGAACTTGACAAAGACTAGAAAGTAAACCGCCTTTTAATAAAGTTCACTTCTTTAACATATCTCGAAGCAACATCTAATTCGGCGGATAGCATCAGGGCTTTTCGATGCATCATGCAATGAGAAAATGCTACACGTTCGTTGCTACTTTGCTGAACTTTGGATAGAAATTCAATTTTCCTCCGGACCATCGCTTTCGCACTGTTTGTGAAAATGCAGGACGCAAACATTTTTCGTAACCATGATTTCGAATTTCATAGTCTTAAAGGATTTTTTGGCTAACTAATTTTTAAGATAAAATTTTGCAGTGTGATATTAACGAATATGAATTACTTTTAAAAAAAAAAAGAAGTGGAAATTAAATGATACCCCTAAAGAATCTTTTTGTCTGAGACTGTAGACACTCCGAAATGCCAATTTTTTCACTGCAGACTTTAATTACAAATTCATTCACTTTTAAAAAAAATGGTCTCTCCTCTTCTGTGTCCTTCTTAAGAGAGCCAAAACAAAAAGTAAAATAAACGTTTCTATTACATATACATATAAAGCATCGAACATCTTTGTTTTTCCTTTGCCTGCATTGTTTTATTTTTATACATATGCGATGTTATCTATTTTCAGACACATAGCATAGAAATATCTGGTTATTGTAAAATTATTTAGAGAAGTTAAAGAAATATCAAAATTGACAAGATTTTCGGTGACTCCTGCTGCACAGAAGGTTGCGTATATATAATTTGTTTAAGACAATGATTTCAAATATTTTAACAAAAGAATTCTTTAAGATTGATATCAATAGAACCTCAATTACCATAAATATTTTGGACCTGAACCACTTTGGATAGTCGAAATACTTGGATTATAGAAGCAACATTTTTCTTTAAATTGTTTTTTTTTTAACATATTCAGAAAATCAAGTTTTTTTCTTCTTTTAAATAATAGTATTAATAGTGAACTAAAAATTTTAAATGTAAAATGATCATTCCATAAATATATTTTTGCCAAAGAGGTATAAATATCTTTAACTTTAAAATTGATCACTTACTGGATTATTGTCTCAGTTAGTGTTCATTCTTTAATAAATATTCGACAAAGCAGCACCCAATTCTGAGTTACTACCTGATTTAATTGATTTATATTAATTTACAATTCATATTATTTTGTAATTCATTTGCTGATTCTGTTTGCACTACTATATCATTATTATTTTGAAGAAAAAATATAAAATGCTTCTTTTTAGCAGAAGTAGAAACTGAAACTAGATCACACAAGAAATAATGGAAATTAAAAAAAAAAAAGTTTTAAAGGTCTTTAGTAGAACCCAAGCAACCAACACCAACTACTAACAAAAAAAAAAAAAACCCAAAATACTTTCACAAGCAATAAAAAAAAAGTTTGCTACATAAAATGATCAATTATGTGAAGTCATACAAAACTACTTTTCTATTTTAAAGTTCTCATAATTGAATTATGATGGCATTCTCAGATTAAATATTGGGCTGCATGTTGGAAAGAAAAAAAATCCTTAAATTGTTTACCAGAGAGATATTCAGATGAACGGGGTTTAGATAGATAATCGAAATTCTAAAATATTTTTTTATAATTTAATAAATATTTTTAAAGGGAACAAAGCTGTGCGATTAGAAAAGTAAAACTGTACATTTACTCAGACAAAAATACAATGAAAGTCGTACAGTAAAGAAGTGTGAGATCACAATGGACAAATAATTCAATTTTCAATACGTTTATTTTTACAATAAGAAAGAACAGGAAAAGATGTTCTGCATTCGTAATTATTCTAGAATCAAATTTTAAGACCCTAACATACTTTATTCTAGAAAACAGAATTATAATTAATGGAATATAGATGCTGCAGAACCAAATTTGGTTACTTTTTCCCTGGGATAATCATCAGGTAAAGATGGACGATCATCTTTGTATTCTTTACGAGGTAGCGGAGGTCCAGGTCTTGGTCTGTCTGTCTTATGGGTCAAGATACCAGAAAAGTAACCAAGATAAGGTCTTTCTACACCCAACTTTTCTAGCATGCATTTATCCAGTTTGAATTGGGATTTTCTGCAACTAAAATAAAATAATCATGTGTATTGTATTTTATATAAAATACAAAGATCATATAATTGTGCTTAAAAAAGTAATCAATAAATTTATAGAAACTGGATATTTATTACGATTCTCGCCACAATATAATTACCCTCAATAGTAAAATAGTTTCTAGTTTTTATTTTTTCCATTTGCTTATGGACAAAAAATATTAAATATCCTAAAGAAAAAAAAATTAAAATAAATAAATGTTTGTCTTATACATAGTTTGTTCCAAATAATATCTTATATTATTTTTTTTTAAAATAGTTAAATAAAAAAGATGATAGAATAGTCAAAGACTATAGAATAATTATTAGTGCAAAATATTTTTTCGTGGATCGATTCCCTGCCATCAAAAAATTTTATGAATAGATTTCGCACTTAAGATTTTTGGTTATAAGACTATTCAGGAAAGAATAAATGAAAATATTAAAAAACAAAAGAATCAGACAGTAAATAAATAGAAATAATTAAAAAATCTTAGCAGTTTAAAAAAATTAAGTCTATTCTTTATTTGCTAAAATTTTGCTTTATGCAAAAATAATTTTATCGAATATATTTCTATTTTAGTAATTTCTTTTTCCTTTTTAATAATTTAGAATGTAGTTTTTCTTTTAATATTACTGAAGAAAGTAAAGGATATCAATGAACTTTCTTGCAAACCACAGTGTGAATGATAAATAAACATCATAACAACAATTAATAAAAAAAATCACTTTGTTCTATGCTTGCTGAAATTTTCAAACAAGACAAATGCCAAAGTAATTTTATAGAATATTCATTTATTTTATTAGCTTTCCTAGAATGAAAGTATTATAAATGTGAGTTTATTTTAAGCAGGATCATCATCATCATCATAATTGGCGAGACAGCCCAATGTGGGCCAATGCCTTCCTCTGAAAATTTCTCCATAACGACTGCCAATTTTTTAAACAGGATCATTCCTGTAAATATTTAAATTTGTTTATTTATATCTACATAATTTTACAGTATTCTTCAGTTATTCTAGAATATTTTCTTATAAATATAATTTTAAACTCATTCAAATATGAAATGATTAATTTAAAAATGGCTCAATTAAACACATGGAAGAAATAAAGATGTATAAACTTTATATATAACAGAACATTTCATATTTGTAAGCTTTCAACAAAAATTTCTAATGAACTAATTTCTAAAGTTCTAATAAACTAATTGATAATGTAACTATATTGTAAGTATCATTTTCTCATCACATTAGTTGTTGACCTATAAAACATTTTTTTAATATGCCGTTATTTCAGAAAAATTAACTTAAATACTAGAATAACAGAAATATAAACAAAACACACCCATATTCAAGTCAATAAATTTAAGTAAACTGGGGGAAAAGCAAGAAGAAATAAATTTAAACCTCACAATACGCAAATGCTTTTATGTCATTGTTATCAAAAGTAATGCACTGAGTTATTTCTTTAATGAAGTTTCTTAGATGAATTTTTAGAGCAGTGATTCTCAACCTTTCTTTTGTTGCGGCACACTTTTAACGATTTTGAAATTTGATTAAAAGTTGTTTACTTACCTATTATACACTGTGTGAAATAGTTTGTGATAATAATTTTGAATGTGGAATAAAATAACAAGTACTACAGAAGAAGGTTTATTAAGTGATAAATTATTTCTTTCGACTAATTTTTTATTAGTTAGTAACAATTATTTATTCTTTTTGCTAGTTATTAATTGTTTGCTTGTTTTCTATAGTTATTAACTGTCAGTTTTTTTACATTAACTGCTACTTTTTTGTGATTTCTTGTTAACTAGTTTCTTTGCTAATTATCAATTGTTAGCTTATTTTTTTGCTATTTATCCTTTCTTAATTTGTTTTTTCAGTTATCCTTTGTTAATTTGTTTATTAAATGCATAGCTTACTTTAATGATTAGCTTTTATTTCCGTTTGAAAGTTAATATTTAGCTCGTTTACCCTTGTTAATCAATAATTTCAATAGTCCTTAAATTTCCTATTTATTTCGACATTTTTTAAAATTGTGTGTCAAAGACAATTTAAACACTTTCATCTTATTTTAACTTATTTCAAGATTGTTAGAGACAAGACAATCGCCGACAAAGATGTTCATGCGGTTAAAGCGTGGAAAAATTACAAAAAGTATATATATATATATACATACACTTTCCTTTAATTTAAACTTTACTCATAATAAAAAAAAGCATTGTAATTTTCATTGTATCATTTTTAATATTTGGTGACACAGTGGTTGAGAATCACTATTTTAGAGACATAGAATAAAGTAAACATAAGAAATAAGTTATTATTATTTGTTAATCAATGAATAAATTTACTTCACAAAACAAGCTTTTTTTCTTCTTTTTTATTAAATATATGATATAGAAAATATATTTTTTTGAAAAGAAACATAACAAAAGTTGTGTGAAAATGTTTCACATATTAATAATGCATAGGGTTAAATAATAGCTATACAGGAAACATTAAATCACTCAGAATTAAGATATACTGTTATTTTTTATTGTAATGAATATCAATTCTGAAATTCTTGATGTAACAAATATTCTTCTGATCCCTAAACCAATTTGCATAGAAGTAATATGCAAAGCCTCTTAACCCTCCTTTTGAGCCTTGAAATATTATGCTGTGTAACTAATGGCAGTTATTCACATTAGCTGTACATTGCATTAGTGATTATCTTTGATAGGTGGTTAATTTATTGAAGTGGATTGGTTTATTTTTAAACATGTTATTCTTATATACATCATACAGTTCTTTTTCATTACTAATTAGTGATGCATGCCTGTTTTTAACTATAAATAATTTCTTAAAATATCAGTACACAAGAACATTTAAGCAATTAGAAGACTTATCATATTAATTTCAACTTGATAGTATATTTCAACTTGATAGTATATTTATAAATATTCAACTTGGTATACATATTTTGTGACACTGATTTTTACAAATTAATAGATCTCCACATAAAAGCCATTAATAGATCTCCTATGTGGTCAACTCATAAATTAAGGTTAATTTTTAATAATACTACTTCATCAATTTAGTGATATTTATAACACAATAGCATAGAAAATTTCCAGAACAATTTTTTTTTCAAGTCAGGTTTTATAAAGCCTCAACCAATAACACCCCAGGGCAGACTTGATTTATTTTAGGGGTCAACACATAAAATAGATAGCTGATTAAACTAAGAAGGTTTTGGTCAATTTTATTACGCAAGATAACATGTTTCATTGGATTTGATAGAATAAATAATTTTAAAAAAAACTTGAGCAAATAAAATTAACTTACTCTTGAATTGTCATATGAGGACTGTACCATTGAATACAATCAGCATAGTCATTAAACTCATCTTTACAGTGTTGCTTCACTTTTTGAAAAAATTCTAAGCCACATGCTGTTACCTCTTTGCCCTCTTTTAAACACCTTCTTGGGTCATTTTCTTCTTTACGACAAAGCATAAATTCCTAGAATTTTTCATCATAAAACTTTTATTACAAAAAAAAAAAAATTATTTGATAAATCATTACCAAGAAGGTACTACACTTAGTATTGGAACAAAATGAGAAAAAAAAGTTTAACAGTGAAAAAAAAAACTTAAACAAAAATACACAATTTGTCTACTGATTATGCTGAAAGAATATTAAAATCAAAACATTTATTATAACATAACTATGGTTGGTGCGAGCCATGAGCTGAATATTCAAACCTGGCTCACCCAGTTGAGAGACGAACGTTCTATCCCCCAAGCCACCACGGCTGTCATTAATTGAATTTATAAATAACATTAATAAGGATAAGATATTTGTATAGGGACCTTGCTTCAAAATTATGGCAAGTCTTGACAACTTCTGGGCAGCAGCTCGCAAGAAACCAAAAAGGTGGGGGAATCAACAACACAGTAAAAAGGCCAGCTTGATGGGTCTAACTCGTAGCCACCTACACAAAACTTATTTTTTTAATAAAAATTACAAGTTTAGAATCCCTTGGTGATTGTAGTTAGCATTACTAATCTCAATACAGAAATATTCACTCTATAGGTTTTTAACACAATTGAATTACTTCAAAAAGAGGGGAAATGTATTTATACGCTTTCACATACAGTGGAATCATTTTAGTTTTGAATTCTCGAAATTTTTTCACATTCGGAAATCCCAAACTGTTTGAACTTATTTTATATTTCAAGTCAGTGAAGCATTTAAATTTTTGAACAATCACACACTATTTTTTTCTACCAGCTCAGTGTATCTGAAGTTGAATATCGCAATTGAAAACATACAAACCTAATTTTTAATGTAAATTGTAACAGATAAATAAACATAGTAATTTCAGTGTGGGGATATTTCCGTATCGTGGTCTGTTGCGCTAAAACTACAATAGCCAAAGTGACAAATAGATTTTAAACTTGCAAATTTTTTTGTTAAAAAAAAACATGAATATATTTACCGACAGTGGTAGCTACGAGTTATACCCTTTGGGTGTTTTGATTCTGTGATGTTTTGTTGGAAGTTGCCAAGACTTGGCGATTATTCTGCCACAGATCACAAAATAGAAATCTCCCCTTCAGAACCATTAAATGTAACTTTTGGACTGGGCGATTTATCGGAAAATGTTGATGTTTCGTAATCATCACCGATCTGATGTTTGGATTGGACATTTTTCGAAGCATCAAAAATTGCGATTTACCAAGATGAGTGCGATGTTTCACGACGCATCCTCGTCTACACATGCGAAGATGAGCATTAGTTGTGATAGCACAATGATGGTTTTAAGTGAGTGTGATGAGTGCTTCTTCCGACCATGAAATGGATGATCATAAGTTCGAGCGAAGAGCTTTTTCCTCTTTTATTATTTATGGTAATGAACTAAATTTGAGATGAAGGAGGAGTGATAGGGAAGTTACATGCATTTAGCACCAGCTGTTCCTAAGTTTTCAATCTTTCTGTTTATGTTTTAATTCTCTGTTTAAGAAGAGTTTTATGAATGATCCCAATGTGCATTTTTATTTTAATTTTTATATTCCTAATTACTCATTTAATGACATCGGCGAACTTAGTTTTGTCTGCACAAGTCATAAATTTTATTTTCAATGTATCATGTCACTGCTGTGATTTATTAATTAAAAAAAAAAATTCGACTAACTAGACGAATTTATACCATTTTTTGTATAGTAACTGAGAATTAAGTTAATTATAAGAACATAATTGCTTCAATATATCAATCAAAAAGTGCAAGAGTTTGAAATTACACAATACCAAATGCTAAATATTAGTGTAACGAAACATCGCGATGTTAGAGTGACGATACATGGCGATGCCAAAATAGTAACATCAGCCAGTCCAAACAAACATTTTATTATACAAACAATATATTATAGAATTGAAACATTAAATAAAAATTTTTACCTTACATTGTGTGTCACAGTATTTACCAAAATGTAGTGCCCCAGCCTTTAAATATGGAGCAGATAAGTTTACTTCCTGAACTGTCAGCTCTTCCTCAGATGGAAGATAAAAATCTTCAGTAAACGGCATAGTTTCCTATAAGAAGAAAAAATTTCTAAGTTAGAATACATTTCTCTACGGAATTATACAAAAATGAAAACAAATTAATAAATGGGTATTTTTGCACTGGAATGTATACAATAGAAAAAAATGTAAAATCTACAAATAGAAGAGTTGATATTCGATTCGTAATTTTGCGTTACTTAAATTAATTATACATATTGTAATGAAAAGTAAATATTTACAAGTTTCACCTTCAAAATATGGTTGAGAAACACTTTTGGATGTCTCTTTCTGCCCGGATTGAAGTCTGCTTGTTTCTACTCCGAAAGGTGAAATTGTTCAATCAAGGTAGAGGCGCTACTAGAGGAAAAAGACTGGGTTTCAAGGAGCATTCTCGTTACTAAATGCCTCCATGTTACCCCGATCACCGTCAAGGAAATATGAGAATCTGATTGGTTAAATATATTTTCCAGTAAAAACACCCTAATCCTCAATTCATCACTAATATAATCTCAACGGTGATCGGAGGTAAGAATACTGCATCCATTGTAACTATACAGGTATAGGACGAAATAATAGGAACACCTATGAAAAAATGAAAATATTTTATTAATAAGGAATTGGGCCACCTTTGGTCTGAATGACAGCTTGCATTCGATGGTGGGATTGACAAATAAAGGTCTTGAACAAAGTTCATTGGAATTTGCAGCCATTCCTCTTGCAAGGCTGTCTCGAGTTCAGAGAGTGTGCATGGAGGAGGAAACCGCGCACGGACAACCCCCACAAAGGCTCAATGATATTGAGATCAGGGAGCTGAGAACAACACGTTAGATGGTCCACTTCATCATTATGCTCATTTAACCATGTTTGAACACAGTGAGACGTGTGAACAGGGGCGTTGTCATCTTGGAACACAGGACGTTCTCCCGGAAACAGAGTATGAAGCATAGGTTGAAAATGATCTGTAAGAATGCTTCGGTAATGGTCCCCTTTGACCACCCCCCGCAGGACAACGAGAGGCCCCAATCCACGGGCAGATATAGCACCCCACACCATCACAGAACCACCTCCATGCTTCATGGTTGGAACCCGGCAATCAACATGAAATGCTTCTGCCGGCGTTCGCCACACGAACACACGTCCAGTGGTCTGGAATAGTGTAAAAGAGGATTCCTCAGAACAGATGACTTGTTTCCATAGCAGTTGTGTCCATTTTAGGTGGTCTGGGCACCACTGTAGTCTCTTCAAAGCATTCCGTGCAGAAACTAACGGTTTTGGAGTAGCTACCTGCCATGAATGTTAGCAGCACGTAACTCCCGTTGAATAGTTTTCATGGATACAGGGTTCTCAAGGTGGGTATTCATCTCGGATGTTATCACCGGCAGTGTAGTCTTACGTTTTCGAGCGACTATCCTCTTCAACACCCGTCTATCACGGTCTGACAACTTCGACTTCCTGCCGCTGTTGTGCCTCGCCGAAGACACTTTACCCAACTCTGTGTATGTCGACAGAGTCCTTGATACAGTGGTCCTTGAAACACCTACAAGTTCCGTTGCTCTGGACACGGACGCTCCAGCCAGGCGAGCTCCGATTATCTTGCCTCTTTTAAGGTCAGAGAGGTCGGACATAATCTCGTTTTGCTAGAAACAGATTTTTTTCATGTAAATCTCACACTGCCAAATGCTATACAGATACCTTGCCTTTCATCACCACTAGGTGGCGCATTCTTGCGACACGTGCCCGCCGCTTATTGGACGGTCGAGAACGACTCCATTCTTTCACAGGTGTTCCTATTATTTTGTCCTATACCTGTAGTATCGATGTTTGACCGTGTAAAGCTAAGTACAGACGGCGTTAAAAGATAAAATTCATAGTAAGAATTTCGGGTTACTACTTCCGATTGATTTTCACGGCTAAGATTAAAGAAGCGCGCCATCTAATATTATTGTACTTGCAGTGTTTACAATAAGCATGCTGTCCCGCAGTGGACTGATCGTTAAGACACGGTTCCCAGCAGATCACCGAAGTCAAGTATCACTGGCTGCGGGTGGGTGACCACTTGGATCAGTCTGCGTAGGGACCGAGGATGTGCGGTATTGGTCCTCGTTAAACTGTTCTACGGTAAAGTATTCGACTTCGCGTGCAGGTCGTTGGGCTACCGAAAGCTGGGGTGCCATCCTCTCTGCAGGGGTTCAAAATTGTGATGGCATATCTTCGGATTATTCTCAAGGATGTTTCCCAGACCGTCGCCAATAGCCCATTGTGCAACTCTAGTACGACGTAAATGAATTACAACAATTACAACAACAATAAACACGCTATTTCAATTTTATTTTCAACGAAATAAGTAACAAATAAATTCAGAAGACTCCGCAGGCATGCTCTGCTATGAAAGATGCTACCCAAAAAATAACAAACGGTGATATTTTTCACAAATATAGCCAAATAAGGGATAACACTCAAAACAAAGCGAACCTTATACATTATTTATGTTGTGATATTAATTTTCCTAAATTTGTTTTAGGTTCATATCCAGTTGAAATTTTAAATTCTAGAAAACTTTTATAAATGGTAAATTTACACTTAAGTTTAAACTTAAATTTAACCACAAATCACAATAATAAGGCTTTCAAGAGACATTAAGCTTGTTCAGACAACGCCTTGTAAGCACAACATAAACGGAGGGATGCACCGGAAGTTTTCTAAACTTCTTCCGGTTCTTGAAATATTGTTATTGTTTACATTAACTATCTATATTATTTATGTCGCACTAGGGCTTCACAACTGAGTTGGTGGCAACGGTCTATGAAACATTTTGCTTCTCAGACCACTCCTGAGACTTGCTATCGTATTTTGCTAATATAAGGGCTATTCTCACGGCACGTAGTTCATGCACTTCCAATCGTCCTCGAGGGAGAATGATAATATAACTGTCGGAAAATTTTTTCCGTGAAAAACTTACCAATCAATATTAGTATATTTCTCGACAGTCATCAGAAGTGCAGTGAGAATGATCTTTTAGCAGCGATTTCGAATTATGTTTTCTGTGGATCCATAAGTGTTTGAGTCCCGCAGTGGACTGATCGCAAAGACACGATTCCCAGTAGAGCACTGAAGTCAAGCATCAACTGGCTATGGTCAGTAAGTGGGTGGGTGACCATTTTTGATCAGCCTGCGTAGGAACCGAGGGTGCGCGGTACCGTCTTGCAGCTCTTGTGCGACGTAAATAAAGTACCTACCTAAGTGATTGAACGACTTTCAGCAGACTCTCAACTTCATAAATAAAATATTTTGCCTCGAAAAACTTGCCTATCAGGCAGTTGATTTCGCAGTTCAAGGGACAGTTTCGTCTTTCAGTCTAGTTCTGGATTTTGCATTTTGGAGAGTGTATATATTGAAAATGAATAAAATAAGCTAAATTATGGCTTTTGCTGAAATAAAAACGAAAAAGAACCGTTGAAAATTATTATCAGGGAGACATATAATATTCCTCGAAGTTCTCATTCTCTCTGTTGAAGTTGTTGTAGTTCAGTTACGTCGCACTAGAGCTGCACAATGGTGAGATTTCAGAAAAAACATATCAAGCTTATTGACAGATGTAAATGTTTTATTTATATAGATAATCATGAAAATGTTTTTAGGATGCGCGATATGATTATGATTCAAGCACGATAAACTACAACCGGCTCAAAGATGTTTTTTTCTTTCCTTATCATTGTTCTTCCTTTGTCAGGAAAAGAGTTTAATTGAATTCTTTTGTTGAAGAAAATTTCTGCAATGAAACATAAAATGGATGTTGCGATTTCGAAACACCAAATAGCAATTAATCTCAAAATATTTTTAAACTGTAAAGGATTTAGTTCATTCGACATGATAATGATTCATGCACGATAAACTATAACCGGCTCATAGATGTTTTTCTTCTCTTATAATTATTTTTATTTTGTCCTCAGAAGAGTTCTATTGAATTTTTTTGTTGAAGCAAATTTCTACAATAAAACATAAAATGGATGTTGCTATTCCAAAACACCAAATAACAATTACTCCCAAAATATTTTTCAGCTCTAAAGGCTTTAGTTCATTGTCAGAATAACTTGTGCACAAATTAGATGCTTGAAACACTGGCTTGAACCACTTTCCACTGATGTCGGCAGCTATGAGTCTGGTCAGGCTGAAACAACAATAAATAATTTTAGGACAATCAGTATAAATTAATCGTAAAACTGAGAGTGAAGAGCGTATTTTAAATGTTGATAGAGTAAAGAATGAAGGAGAATTATATACGGCGTTTAGCGCAATTATCACCTTTAATATATATTTTTATATATTATAATATCTGAGGAAAAATTAACCAAATCTTTATTTAAATTAAATGATATATGAGTATATAGAAAAAAAAATCAAGAAGTTCTAATGTTTTATAATTTTTTTTAAAATTTTCTATTAGCTTTTTTGTAACATCATCTGAAGAGTAAAAGAAAATTTAATTGTAGCATTAAATTTAAAAATGCCCTTTTAACGCTCTGTTTATAAAGCGAGTGTAATTGTAAGATATTTACCAAGCGTTATTTGTGTTTACTTTTTTTTCTTCTAATGCCCGCCTGTGTTAACATCTGTCAATTCAGGTATCTACAGGGAGATTTTGTTGACCTCTCTTACAGGGGCACCATATTAGGTGGGCCAACGTCGCTCCCACAATAAGGACAGATAGTACCGAGAAGGAAAGAACATCCATACCTTGACCGGGATTCAAACCTAGAACCTTTCTGATGCAAGGACAGTTCCCTGGCCCCTACACAGACCGGTCGGCTATTTGTGTTTATTATAAGTATAAAAAATTAACAACATTTAAAAGCAAAATAAAGTTTTTTTTGGATGTCCAGGGAAATTCGAAAATTTCATAGTGCTTTTAAAAAACTCACCCAGCATTGAATTTTTCCACAAACTCTTTAGATAGCGATTTCCTTAAAGCAACCAATAACGGAAAAGGATATATGACGTTGCTAGAGACATGCAAGTTGCATTTTCCGTGTTCTTTAAAGTATTCACTCAAGCCATTTCGCATGATGAGCTGACCATGAACGATTGCAGCTTTTCCTTTTTCTACTTGCTTGATATATTTATCAGTCAAAACGTCTTCAGTTGTCATTTCTGGCTCAAGTTTGTCCCACAGTTTTTCATATGCTGGTATACCAGAGTCCTGAAGATGGATACAGAACCATTAACATTAGGAAGTAGAAAAATTGAGTAACAAATTTAAGTAGAATAAGTCAATAATTTGAGTAGAACAATTTCTAGTAAGGAAAGTTCTCCACGCTTCTCTAGGGAAAGTTCATAAGTAGAACAAGAATAGAATGATGTATGATAGATAGATAAATTGTCTTGTTATTAAAAGTGTTCTTTTCTTTGTATTAGTTATTAATTTATATGATTTTTTTATCACATACTGTAGTTCTTTTTCTTTGATGAAATACTTTTTTTAGCATATACTTTTTAGTATGCCTTTAGCAGCGTGCAGGAAAGTGGTCACGCAATTGACTCTGATCTTTAATTTGCCTCTGAATACTCCCTTGTATACTTTTCACGTATTTCTTTGATGTCAGTTTTCTGCGAATAATACTAATAATATTTAAAGGGAGTAAAAATAATATTTTAATAATTTTTCAAAAGGCTTAATTAATTCTTTTAAACTTTACTTAATTTATAAACTTTATTTTTAGAGTGTATTGTATTTTAAAATTTTAAATGAACTATGATTAGTTTCATTTAAAAATAAATAAATATATATATATTATATGATTTTATTTTTATTCAAACAAAGTTTATTAAATTTTTTACGTTTTATGTTAAGAAAACTATTTAGAACAATAATTTTAAATTTATGTTTCTAAAAAAAATATGAATGTAAAATATAATGTAATGCAAAACGAGAACATTATATTTTTAAAGTAATTGGATGCCTGCAAGTGACGTCATCGTCGGTAATTTGCCGATTCAAATGCAACCCAGCGGCGACACACACGCGTGACGTAAGTTAAAGGTATCCATCTCCAATTAAATCTGATTTAAATCATATGGTTAGGCATACTCAACTAACTTTTTCTTCGCTTGCAAGTATCCAATTCTTATTGATTTAAATTCTTTTTGCTTTAAAAGTTTTACATAATATATAGTTCGAAAATTGTGCAAGTAATTTTGCTTTCAAATTCTGAAAAACATAAAATTTATTAAGAGTTGATTGCTATTTGAAAAAAAGACATGAAAAAGATATGACTTGATCTTAAGTCTTAAATTTAAATACAAAATTTAAGAAAACGATAAAAAAGCAAATGTTTTAACCAAACGATTTTTTATTTCCTAAAAATCAACGTTTATTAGAACTTTTAATTCATAACTATAATTAAATTTTTTTTTGTTTTGAAACTATATTTACAGTAAAAGTTTCAAGAACTATGATCGTACGTTTTTGTATTAAGTAAATACTTTAAAAGGTAATTCTAATCTAAATTTATAAATTATATCTGAAATAATTATTCCAGATTACTTTAAACAAATTGATCTTTAACATGAGTTAATATGCAAATGTTTGAAAAATTAATTTAAAATTTGTTTGTATTATTAACTTTTTAAGCCACTTGTTTTTTTATTGAAAAATTTTAAATTATATTTATAATGAATTTGGATTATCTTGGAATCAGAAAATATTTCTGGGTTATATACTGAACTCTAAGTATATTTGAATAGAGTTCGAGTCCTCAACAGAAACATGTTTATTCTGGCGTCATGACAAGAGAATGTTATAAAAGCAAACAAAATCACTTTTTTTTACCAAGATGTTATCATAAGAGTAATTTTGCAGTTTAAACTTATTAAATAATTCTTAAAAGCTAAAGTAACAAAAAGATAATAATCTTAATATTAATTGAAATGTATTATATTGATGTTTAAAGAGGTTTATTGGTGTGCAAATGATTTCAAAAAATCGTATGCAGAATGAAATCTGCAACAACACACAACGGAAACTTACACTTACAGAAAATATCGGGTAAAAATAAATAAATTTTTAAGTCATTAGCTAATATTTTTAAAAGTTTTTCTTAATTGATCACAAATTTAATAGACATACTATTTTGAGCATAATTCAAAAAGATTGGAAAAATTAAAAGAATAAAAAACTAAATTTGTTTTTATCCTTTATGTGATACTATTGTTTTTATTTATTATGCGATACTAATGTTTTTATTAGTAACGTCATACCACTGTTTTTATTTGTTTCATGATACAATTGTTTTCATTAATTATGAGACTCTATTGTTTTAGTTTTTATTCTTTTGTTTTTAATTCGACTTACTATAATTCAATTTAAAACCTATTTTTTAGACTCTCATAATGGTGTGTTTCTTTTGAAATACACCAATCTGTTAAAAAATTTAATTCGTTTTTCTATCTTACAAGTCGATTAAATATTTAACTATAGAAACGGCCTTTTAATTATCAGTTAAATTGACTGATTATTAAATTGTCACAATCAGATGCTGAATTTGTAGCAGCTTAATTGTACTATTTGAATTTAAACTTTACTTTCAGAACTTCTTGCAATTCGATTTCAGGCACCGTCCATCCTAAAACATTTTTCTTGGTTATGAGATCTGTTGCTGAATCGACAACAGGTTGCGCTTTGACTATAGTAAGTTTGGACACCAGTAAGCTTTGAAATACAGTCATAACTAAAAATGAAACGCCTATTATCCACAATATCACTAAGAAGGGCATTAGAGTAGCAATTGGAATTTTACTTGCTCGGAACATCCATCGCTCGTTTAATGCTGAAATATAAAACAAAAACAACTTTAAGTAAGCGTAAGACTTGATACTAAAACCCAATGAAAATAATGATTATTTAAAGGTGGATTCAACTGTTTTCAAAGATTTGAATTAAAAAAATTTCGATTATTTTGCATCAAAGATATCGGTTAGTTAAAAATTCATTTAATGTGCAGTAAACTATTCACCTAATCGACTCATATTTTTATCTCCGAGTACTCAAGTTAATTTTTGCTGGTGTAAAAGTGCATAAATTTGGCCCTTTCTTACAAGTTATTTTGAAATATAGAGTGTTGAAATATATAAGAATAATATATTGAAAATATATATACAAAATATGTATAAGAAATATATGTAAGAAATCTATTGAATATATATAATTTTGAAATATATAAGTTATTTTTAAATCTATATTATATTGAAAAAAAATATCGTGTTTTTAAACTTTGCTTTCTTAAGAGCTATTTTTGTCATTTAAAGTTACTCTGCTATAGACAAGATGCTGAAATTTGCATGCCTTAAAACACCTTTTTTTGGCTTTTTCAAATTAAGTAATTAATAATAAATAGTTATAATTTTTTAAAAGGAATTATCTGTGGATCGAAGATTTTATAACTGCGTAGAAAATTTATAAATTTAAAGTTATTCCAGAAATATGATGAAATAAGTAAAAAAAGGTAATTAACACGGAGGGTACTTTCGATATCCCTCTTAACAAATTATTAGATACATATTTTCCAAATTACGACTACGCCCTATAATTCAAGGGCAAAGAATCCAAATCTGTTAAAATAAAGGTAGGTTTATTCCAAGAAAGCATGTTTTTGTGTCTGATTTCTTATCAAAAAATACCTTCTGCACTAATTAAGTAACATGTGAATGGTTTGACTCTCAAACCATTCAGATTGCGTCTTAGAATGTTGAAATCTGATCACAAGAACAAAAGTTATTAATATCTTCTTTTTTAAAAATTAAATTGCCCTTTTATGTGGTGCAAATAGCCTTACTTTTGATTTGTAAGAGTTTGAGTCTCGTGAATTTAAATTCCACAATGATAATTCTCATAATTCTTTTAAAAAAGCTTTAGAAATATTTAAAAAACAAACAATGTATTATTTTAAATTAATTGCAGTCATGACTTACCTTGGCGAAGCATGTAAACAACGTACACCCAAAGATATTGCCCTACTGCAAAAAGCCAAGTGCTTTTATTTCCAAATGTGAGCCTCAAAAACAGAAGTGCAGAAGCAATAGTGATGGCAATAAGAGAAAGTCCAATGCTGTTCCACACCTGTAGGAAGAATTAAAAGGTAAATGTGATTTAGATAAATCATGTTACTTTAACTAATAGTTTCTGTAGAAGAAAGTGCAAAAAACAAGGGTGGTTAAATTTATTAATGCTGTTACTTTGCGGAAGGCTCTAAAGTTCCCACTATCTGATAATATAATGAAATATTAAATTAAATTAAATAATAAAATATCAAATTAAATTAAATAACAAAATATTAAATTAAATTAAATAATAAAATATAATAAATAATAAAAAAATTTTTTTTTTGCCTGAAATAACTCAATTTTTCTTAATTTTCTAAAATAGTTATAAAGGTTAAATACGTCAGTAATAAAATAAACATCAAACGTCTGACCGTTCTCCTCACTAAACTATGGTGTTCTTTTTTTCCAGATTATGGATTCCTCTCCCATATTCTGAAGAACAAAATTTCGAATCTATCGAAAAAAGGTATGTTTATTCTAAAAAAATGCGTTTTTGTGTCTGATTTATTGACACGTTTTTGTGTCTGTCATAAGCGAAACATCTTTCAGTAAACTTAGCAACCCAGTTGAAGAACAGCTACACATACTCGAACTCGTTAATTTTTGATCCGTACACAAACCTATTACCATAAATACTTATATGTTGCATAAAAACAACTCGACACATGCATCAAAACGAAAAGAAAACGACGAGCGAAGTGATTTGCAAAAGTCAACTGTTGGAATATTTTAATCTAAAGCCAGAAATTCTTGGTGAAAAAAATTATGGGCTCTTATATGAATTTGCTAAAAGAGTTTTTCATTTTATTAATTTATTTTTTTCACTGAAAATAACTGCACTCCAGGATCATTTCCACATGAATTAGTGTAAAAACAGGATATGGGATCGTACTAGTAAATAAGAATCTTTCCAGACTAGATAGAAGATTTGATATGTGAACAGAAAGAAAAAACAGTTTCAATTGTTTATCAGAAAGTGTGCAAAAGCTTGTCAATTGGTCTAGTAATTCATAATCCTGTCCAAGTTAAAATTTTAAGTATGAATAAAAAGGAATTAGTCTGACATAACTTACTGGTGGTTCTAGAACACTGAAATAGAGAAATAGACCCCCATCCTTTATTTCTTTGCCTGACAGAAATGTATAAGATTCATATAAGATGGGATTAGTGTAGTGACAAACTTTAGCATAATTATCATCAGGCAGAAGTGGATTGACAATAGCATCAACTTCCTAGGAAAAAAACCGTCTTATTAATAAACTAATCAAACTATGGGGCTTCGCTTCCTGCTTGTTTACGTCAATATTATATAGCTTACGCCAATATTACAATATTATTATGCTTGTAGTGCTTACAATATAACGCATTTTTTCGTTTCGTTTGTAAGGTATCCGACTGCAAATCAATTTAAACAACTCCACAAGCATGCAACAAGCACCCAAAAAATTACAAACGGAGATATTTTACACAAATATAGTTAAATAAGGGATAATACTCAAAACATGGCAAATCACTGTATTTGTGTCATCTTAATCTTTTTCTTAAATTGATTTAATGCTAATGACCTATTTATAAGTTATAGAAAAATCTTGTGAATGATAAAATTACTCTCAAATATAAGCATAAATCACAATATTAAAACCTCCTAGAATATCAAGCTTGTTCAAATGTCTCCTCCTATACATAACATAAGCGGAGCTAACGACAGCACATTTTAAAAGTTACTTCGGTTTCAGGATTTTGTTATTGTTTAAATTCCCAATCCAATAGTTTTTAAACTAAAATGGCTTATTTTTTTCATGTACCACACATTAATAAAATTTCCCCGACTGCAATAAATGGTTAAAGAATCAGACTTCGATCCTTGATTCCGCTCAGACCCACCGGATACGTTCGATATACGTGCTCGTACAATTTGTGGAATCGAAAGTCCTATGGTAGGTGGCTGTGCAGTATTATGGGTACATAAACTTGAGAAAATTTTTTTCCCTTTCTGATTTATGTCAAAATTGAAGAAGTGGTCTCATAAATGAGATCACCTCTGCAGAGGATCAAATTTGTGATAGGGTGTCTTCGGATCATCCCCAGGGATGTTTCCTAAACTGTTGCATTGTGCTCCTCTTGTGCGACGTAATTAAAAGTACCTACATACATACTTTTTTCTAAAAATTGTCTGGGAAAAACATTCTATTTAAGTAACAAAATATGTTAAAAAGATAATATAAATAATTATACATAAATAATGTTAATTTGTGTTACATTTCTGAAGAGCATTCCGCACATTCCTGTCCAAGTGTCATTTTCCCATGTTCCATATTTATCTTCTGGTTCCCTAATCCATGTTGCCCTGAAAATATTTCATTTCAGTTTTCATTTTGGAAAAATAAAGATAAATAGAAAATCTGTTTGGACAAAATACTTACCTTTAATTTTAAACTTTAATTGGTTTTATTTTGCAAATAAAAGATGAAACTCTACTATCAACTTCTCACTGACTAATTGAATAAGTTTAATACAATTAAAATCCATATCCACCTTTTTAACTTTCTAGCAGCTTCAGCTATAGTTATATGAGTGGAGATAAGTGAATTAGCTATGTGCTACGTTCAAAAGAATTACTACAGCGCCGCATAGTGGAAAACGTAGTAACTAGTGTCTCTATTTCAAAAACGGTGCAAGATAGGGGGAATATTTTAATCCTAAAATAATTAAGTAGCATCTATCTAATATGAATAGATATTGTTTAATTCTACAGTCCACAGATCCTAATTAATTATTCATTGAACTTGAGAAAATAAATAGTGTATCGATTCGTGTGTGTGGAGTGTTTCAATGTTTTCGAGATATAATTCAATATTCTAAGTTCATCTCGGATTCCAGTAAATTGTGGCAAATTCTGATTTGTGAGATGTCTAAATGTTTCACCTTTAATTTTATAGTTCCAAGTCCATACAACAACCGAGTCAGGTAAAAATTTCTGAAACATTCTTTTTCCCGCTATTTGGCAAATCAGATATCTAGTGGTTTTGTAGACATTAATGCTAAGAAAGGAACGCCTAAAATGAGTAATCGTGAGTTTATTACGCTGTGACTTACAATATAATTTGGAACAGAAAAAAAGGAAAGCTTCTATTGAGCGTTATACGTGGAAATAAAGGTATCTTGTAGTGACTATAGTTATTCCCATTCTTCGTCACACCACAACAGTTTTGGAAATCTCGGAAATCTCATACAGACATACATTTTAAAGCTTTCAACTCTTATGATTAATGTTGATACGGTGTCTATTTGTACTAAACCGAAAATGTTCTAATGTTTATAATTCACTTCCCTTCATAACTTGTTCTGTTTTCGAGATAGAGATAGGAACGCTAGCTCGCCAGTTTTCCACCAAGAGATATTAAACGCAGTTAATATCCTCTTTGTCATGCCAAAACACCAGTTTTATAAATATAATTAATCGGAAGATTTCGCTTTTATATTTCGAGATATAGCAAAATTTATGATTTCATATTTCATTTCTGATTAAATATATTTTATTTCTAATTATTTTGGTTACCACCTTGTAGGGTAATTCATAAAGTCTATACTTAAATAATATTTTTAGAAACTTTATCAAAAATGAAGTAAATGCATATTATGAAATAAAAATTAATGTTTCCGGAAAAACAAAAGAACAATTGAAATCTAACAAATCACTGCTGTGAAAAGCGATACTGGAAGTAGAAATCTGTTTGATTGCCTAAAAAAGTAGCGAGAAGTTGAAAAGAGGTAATTACAAACACATCCTAGTTTCACCAACTCATCAAAAGGTTTTTATTACAATAATTTTGCCTTCCTCGCTAGAGATTTGAGAGTTTTTGATAGCTTCTTACTTGTTCAAATATTAATTTGCAACCCTTAATATGTACTGTTTTTTATTTAATTTTTGATAAGGATTCTAATAATATAGATTAAGAGTGGGCATTACGGAATAACTTGTTCATAAAAAATGCAAGCATTGCTATGTAAGGAATCTTACTCATTTGATGTTTTGAATTTAATAAAAGTTCATTCCTAAAATCAGCAAAGCGTAATTTCATTACCACTAGTTACAATATTTCTTAAAAAGGTAACTATGCGTTCGGAAGCTTTAAATGTGGTTTTAGCAAAGATGATGACTCAAAGAGGCGATAATTACTGAAAGTAACGATAATTACTAAAACAAAGGGTAATTACTAAAATAAACGATAATTATTGAAAGAAATTATAATTATTAAAAGTTTTATTAGTTGGAACTGGGAAGGGATTGAAGAACTTACGTGAGGTTCATCCAGAGAATAACAGCCTGGAACATGGCGGGCATAAAACCTCCCAGAGTTTCTTTCCCGTCAACACTGAGAATTTCTACAAAAGGTGGCAACTAAGGGAATAAAATAGATACTAAGATATGCATGATATTTTAAAACTGTTTGAGGTACATTAAAATAATGATTATTTTTCTATATTAAAAATCGTAAGTTACGCCGATGCAGTTTTAGGTGCTCAAACTTATGGTACATTTTGTTTTGCCGTGCAAAATCTGTTAGAGTTAGAACTTGAAATCACGAAATTGAATGGAAAAATATGTATGGAGTACAATGAAAGCAGACATACAACTACAGAGTTAAAATTGGAAGAGCTGAACGGATCATTTTTTTAATGAACGTATTGAATGAATTTATTTATGAACGTATTGAACGTTATTGAAATTTCGAGTGCTTTTACATTTTTGCTTCAAATACGCGAAAAAATTCGCGAATATTTATTGGAAAATAATTATTATAGGAAAATTTTATTTTTTCTCTAAAGACCTTTATTTTATAAAATCGTTCTGAAGTTAATGTCGAGAGACAGAATGAGAATTACGGAATCAAACTTTGAATTGTGGTTACATTAGGAAGGGCAAAAAGAAAAAAAATGATTGTTTTTAAATTTATTCTCAAAACGCTAAAGTGCAAATGCTATTTTAAAAAAATTGTTAGAAATTTTTTAAAAATCGGTTAATATT